AAAAGCACATTTTGATTATTAGTCCTTAAGTGGGTGGTTTGAATAACGGAATCCAATTGCCCCGAGGTCTGGGTGTAAGTGGTACGCAAACCTGATTTATTGTTTTATTCTATTTTATCGTATATTTATTTATTTATTTATTTATTTTATTTATTTATTCCTCTTAACCGCGCCGTAGTCTATAAAACTTGTTCATGACTTCAGTGTCAGATTTGGCAGTCGTAGTATAGTTAACAACTGGGTCATAAAATCAGTCAGCAATGTTATTTCATAATTGGATGAAAGCTTGGAAGGCTCGCCTTTTGGCGCATTTCCCCTTTCATTTCTAAGCACACTTGCTGAGATTCTGTTCATCTGTTGCCCTTTCCAGTGAATTTCATCGTCTCTCTCCGTCATCATTTCGCAGCTAACCCTGTTCCCTTTGTGGTTGCCCCATATTACTAAGTCCACCATATTACTAACTCCCACCACTTTGTTTCCTTACCATTCTCCGTATGCTCTGCATTTGTCCGTTTGTAGAACAACATCACTCCGCTTCATATCGCTTCCAAATGGGGACGTATTGAAATGGTTCGACTGTTGATAGCCGCGGGAGCTCTAGTAGACTGTCGCACGCGAGATGGCCTTACTCCGCTGCATTGTGCTGCACGATCTGGACATGCTGAGCTTGCCTCGCTGTTGATCGATGCTGGGGCTAATCCTTCAGCCAAAACTAGGGTAAGTAGTTGTTTTCAGATTCACTTGAGGTAAGTTGAAAGCTTTCGTTCACCGTCAAAGTATTTTTTATCTCAGGTGGTTATGCTGCAGGTTGGCCTGTTAGCTGAGCATGACGTTCTTCTTGCAGGCCACTCGTCACCAATCAAGGCGGCGTCATCCGGGTACCATCTCACCCAGCCGTTCTCTGATGAGGTTTTCTTTATCGGTGACGAAACGTCTACGGGCCAGTTGCCAAGCTCGACAGACAGACCAACCACCAAACATTGCACCCATGGTTTCCTGCCACTGTGATGACGCAGCTTGGAAGTGTCCGGCGGTTTTGTATATACCAACAGTCCTTGATTCTGGAGTCGCCAACGATGAATATGCTGAAAAGTCTGCATGCTTAAAGCAGGAATAGAAACAGCCGCTAGCAGTAGTTTTAAATTTTGATGAATATGATAAACCCGAGCACACCCAATATACAGACGGACCAATCACCTATTAGTCTTATAAGCAGTAACCGATGGTAGTCTGTTTTGAGCTAGAGAAAATAGATTGTTAGGATGAAGCGTTCTGAGAGGCGTTTATACACCTCAGATGTTAGACAAGCGCTCACATCCGGGTCAAGGCAGGATTGTCACCAGGATAGCTTTCCTGTGGAGGTGACGCACCAGTTGGAGTCGTACTCACTAGTACTGTTTGTTTAAAGCATACTCGCTCCGTTCTTTTCAGGGCCTTCACCGATCAAGTTTTTTGAAAACATGGTCTGAATAAGCAAAAAAAGTTACCTGGAAGAGCTGGCATTTCGTGTGATTAATTAGCTTGTCTCTCGTTGAGAAAGCGTCGGATGAACAGCCCCACCACAGGATCCGTTTGTTTGGATACGGTGTACAGTAAGGCAGCTTCTCTTGACTGTCTTTCATCGGACTCGTTGTTACCACTTTTGTTATTACTCTGCTCTAATATCTTTTAAGCTTTGGCAGAATAAGCAAAAGTATAACTATCTCGCTACGTGAAACAGAGCCGTGCTTCAATCAGTTGAAAAAACGCTTGCCCGGCAATAAATCTACCGTTTGCCTTCAAACTTTTCTAAAAAGAGCCATGCTTCATTATGTCATAATTTGATACCTTTATATTAGTGGACGGATGTAAATCTTCCGGGGTCTACTCAGCTGATGGCCTACCAATTGCATTTTATGTCCGTCTATGGCCACGAACTAGGTCGCTGTTGTGTGAAGTCGCAGTAGTATGGGTGCGCTGAAGTAACAACACGATTGGAAACAATGATGGCAGCTAACTAGTTTCAACAAGCCTGAAGAACATGCAGGTGTTCTAGACAGGTGTGTACATCCATTCTGTTCCATTATTCTTTATATCACAATTTCCAACTCGTGGATGCGTGTATATCGGCGGAGAACAACCAACCCGCAGATGTCACATTCAATCTTTATCTCTACTTGGAACGTTATCTCTTGATCAAAATATTATAGTAAGATAAAATAAATGACAACCAAAACAGTTCCACACAACAGTTCAAAATGTTCATTTCTTGCCTGAAGATGATTAGGAGAAAATTGATGGGAAATTCTAGTGGATAATCAACTTGTTTACCAAAAGGTTCCTAATTTATCCAAACCTTATTCGGTGTGACACCCAAGTGTATGAAACTGCCTCATATACGGAGGGACAATGAAATTGACTGGTGTTTTCTAGTACTTTGTCCAAGTGCCGAAGGCCGTGTTTACCGGCAGATGGCTCGTCAGAACGGTGCTCTAACAACAGGATGTCACTGCACTAGATGACTTCTCCCAGTTGATAGGGATGAAAAAGTTCAGTTGTGCCACATGTATGCCTAGGTAACATATACTCTGTGGACAGCTTGATGAATTACGGTTGAAACAACCAGTCACTACATGTATATTCCACAATCCTGCCTTCATTTTTGCACCCTGTGTTAACATGTTGGGCTTTTTCTTTGTCTTCTGTGGTTAGCAGTGGGGTGATAGCTTAAGAAAGGATCTCTGGGAAGCATGACACGATCCACATGATTCATTCACTAACCTTGTCGATAGATTCATTTTCAAAAATCACCAGCGATGTCGATCCAACCCTTCGTTTCTGCCCAGAAACCTATTACCGATGGTGCTTAGTTCCTCGATAGTTTTCACTTGCATGGAAATTGACCACATGGATGCCGTTCAATACATATTGCACACTGATCTCTTGTGGCTAGGCTGAATTGTGCAGCGAACGGGCAGCAAGGGGCTTCAGAGTCACCAGAACGACAGTGCTTACATTCAGTCCGACGCTTTCGGCTATTTCTCCTGGCAACGAAACATACTTTGACCGAATACAATTCTGTTGTGTTCGTGCGTATAATTTTCTAAGCCGTCTAAAATAGTCCCCTTCTAATGGAGCCTGTAGAAAGCAGTATGAAGTGGGTCATGTCAGAGGGATTGTCCTACTACGGAGCGAAAGATACTAGCCTGACGCTTGCAGATGCCATGCAAATCCCTACAGTCGCATTAGACAAGGAGCCGTCACAAGGTCGCCAAACAGAGAACTACTCTGTTGAAATATTGCTAGCTCGGGTGAGTTTATTGGTTGTTGATCAGGTGGCTGTTGCTCTGTTCTCCGAGCTTGGCAATCGGCTTGCATTTTTGGAGTTCTCTCGCTCTTAGTGGCTGGGATATGTTTGTTGATCGCCTCTTCGGTGGAGGACCATGCTTCCATAAATTCGCGTTCGTTTTTTGTTCTTGCATGAGCCAATATGCAGACGCCGCTCCAGTCGAACTCGTGTCCTTCCTGATCTTTGTGTGCAGAGATGAGGGAGAACTGACCGTACCTCTTAGTGGCGAGCTTGCAAGCCAATTGCCAAGCTCGGCGAACAGATCAACAGCCACGTGATCAACAACCAAGAGAACTACTCTACAGAGTTTTATCCCTCGGTTAAGTTCACCAAATGTAGTGCTCCTTCACCGATCCATCCCGTATGATGACCCTTTGGTGATAATATTCTCTGTTGAACGTCCACGCTGTTCGGTCGGGAGAGGGGCACCTTATTTGGTCGATCATAGTAACGAGGTCTTCGGTCCTACCTATTTAGTTCAGCTAGTTCCCGATGTACATGGGCGTGGTCGGTATTCAACTGACTGCTATTCTATACTATGGCGTCGAATCTTTCTGAGGTTGTATTAATCCGAACCGAATGTCAGCTGATGTGCGATATAGACAATACCTACTGGGACCGAAATTTGCCGACTTTTGACTGGCCCTTTTGACTTAACAATACATGGTCCCTGTACTTCTCATACACCACGAAAGTTTGCTAGACAATTTCCATCACTAGCAGCACTTCCTAACCAGACATGAACATTCGCCTCGATATGAAATAATTAAATAACTACTGGACTTTTTGTGACATTGCTAGTCTTTATGTGTGGTGTTGTGGATGTCATTCATTCTTATTGGATACTCTCTTCTGTCTTAAGTTAATTGCCTACTCACTTGTCTAGCGAATTTCATGATTTCACGAAACCGGGTGCTCGGTTTAGATAAGTTAGTTTCCTTGTTATTCATAGCTGACATCCTATAATTTCGAAAGAACTGAGAGTAACGCAAGTTCCTTCTAGATTCGCTTGGATTTTACACATATTTGTTCTTCCATGGAACGTACGCTTGACCGACGTTCTCTTTCTTCCCTCCCTTGCTTCATACTTCCTCGTAGAATGGCCTTACCCCATTGCATATGGGCGCGCAAGGCAATAATGAAGAGGTGGCCCATGTCCTCATCTTGCGTGGGGCAAGTGTCGAAGACAAGACTGGGGTAAATATAGTTTCTTTCATTTGTTCATCGACTTGCTTTACTCTAGGTTATTCCATGAGGAAAACAGGTTCCATCCGTGTTACCGTAGTGTCACTAGTTTCGTACGCTTTATATACCTCAACATTATTCTTAGCGAAACATTACTCGTAAGTTCGCTGAAAATTTTTCGAAAGCAGACTGTGTTATTCGTGTCTACGAAAACTCGACGTTCTATGGTGTGCTGTGGTTAACGCTTCCAGTGAAATTATGCACAGGTTAGTCACGATCACGACAACCACGCAGGTTGCAGCCACGGGGGAATATGAGGAACAATTTAGCGAATTAGTCCCTCGACCAATTCCTGATAGCCTGATCAAGCCCGACTAAAATCTATCATACTTAAGCCTGTCGGTTGCTTTAACCTTGATGACCATTGTCCCATCGGAAGATGAAGCATATTCTGATTGTCACATTTGATTTATGTTTTAGGATCTTTTGACTCCACTTCATGTGGCTTCCCACTGCGGCAATCGTGAGGTAGCCCGTATCCTACTGGAAAACCGCTGTGACGCGAATGCTCGAGCACTGGTAAGTACTTTTTTTTGCCGGGCTGCCTGCTTCGTGTTCAGTGTTATTATTTGATCCACTGATTGGTGCGAATTCTGGGCGTTCTTTGTTCGTACTTACGCCACTTATTTTGTTAAACTCATACTTCTGTGTAACGCTCTGCTTTATGAAATGTCGAAAAATGACCCTTGTCTTGGAGTGGTGTTTTTATGCAGTTCCTTCCGTTTATCGATAATTTTCCCGTTGTTCATTGGATAACGGTGTGAAAAGTCCCTGTTACCTTCCCAGACTGCATCAATACTATCGAATCCAAATCAAGACTAACACGAATCCCAACGCTGAAAATGACGCTGAGGTTGAAATCCAACAGATTGGAACAAACTTTGTTTTTTTTTGTTAGCGAAATACACTCATGTGCAAACAGATTTGGTTTTTGCGACAGACTCCCCTGGAACCAAGCTGAATCTCTTTTTTATGATGTTTTTAAGCAGCTTAATGTACTGCACCAGGCCGCTCCGTGTTTCATTTGGTACGATATTAGAGGCATCGTGATACATGTATGGACGTAATACACCGCTCGTATGGTTGCTGAGAATTCTTCGACAGTTTGAACGAGCAATACAGCTGGGTTCCAGGTGAGTCTCTCGCAAAACCAATTTTGTCTGCAAATGAGTGTATTTCACTAATTTCGTGCAATTGGGTTTCAAGCAGAGCATAAAGTTGACGGAAACTCGAGGACTTTGCCTACCTGGTGAGCCTCAAGAAGGGCAAAACCGGTCGTGGGCCGTCCAGAAATTTTCAGCAACCATATGAACACTGTATTACGTCTATATATATATATATATATATATATATATATATATATATCGCGATATCCCGGACATCATACCAACTGAAACATGAGGCGGCCTGGTGCAGCACATTCAGTTGCTTGGAAAAATCGTAAACGAGAGATTCAGCTGGGCTCTAGGTGAGTCTCGCAAAAACCAAATTTGTCTTTGGTTGTTTTACAGCATAACTCACAACGAACTCACTGCTCACAGTTTCGAGATGTCTTGCTCGAGTAAACGAGAGTCGATAAATTATGATTTCGAAATGCACCGGATTGTTGGGGTTTCACTTTCGGAAAACGACCAAGTTCGTTTTCGCAGTAACAAGGACAGCAAAAGCCATAAGGTTTTCCGTCATCCTTGACTTGACTGCGACCAATACCTCTGGATTTACTGTAGAAGGTCGATTTTTTCGTCGATTTGAACCAAGCACTATTTTTTCATTGTGCATTTATTCTTCCTTCGCGCAGTGGAAGCACACAGACTTAAGTTTAAAGAATTCTTTTGGCAGTGTACGTATATGTGAGCTCGCCTCAGAGCCAACGTTTTGCGCGTGAGGCTATTAAACTTTGGCACGCGAACCTGTGTGAATGAGCCGTTTGCGAGTTACAACGTCTAAGTTCGTAGGGTACATGTGATCTGTGCAAACTGCACTTCGATTAGATTTATCTCAATGTTTGAAGGGTGATGTATAGTCAACGTGAGCACACTGAGCGCTTTTTTTTCACATAGCTGATGAAAGTTCTACCTGGCGTTTTGTGTGCATATGTAATTTTGAATAAATTGGTTCAACGAGCAAGCAGTTGAAAGCAAATCGACTATGAAGAACTTGGCAACATTCGATCACAGCGCAGTGCATTTTGTCCTGGTTTGTGACGGTTAGGCTTTCGAGCTCGAATTCAGTATTCTTAGCAACTCCCATTGGGCAATCTTTACCCAATATGTTTTGATCTTCTGCTCACCCTTTGGTATGATTCACTGCACTTCTCGGTAGCGGGTGGGTTTTGGCTAGAAGTGCGACAATGTTTGATCTGTAACGTTTCGTACGATTCGGCTTGTTAATGAAAGCAAGTCAGTGCAGCTGAGATTCGCTTGAGGTTCATGGCGGTCGCTCAGTTTGGCCGTACTTATATGTTGTTAGGCATCAACTTGCGATACTTGTTATGAACTTATCTTGTTACCCGATCGTCCACGAAACCGGTGGGAGCCCACAGTAATCCTTGATTGGAAAATTCAAGACTCCTTATCTCACAGTGACGTCGAGAGCTTGGTGTGGTCGTCATGTATTGGTGCTTTCAAAATTGTAGCATAACGGCCTCTTCATAATAACTTTCTTTGCTGTTCCAACTATGATCCACATTTACTAACGATCCAAACACACTGCAAGGTTGATGTTAGGGGGCGGTTTATTTAAATCGAGATTTCTTCCTGCAAGTTAAGTCTATTTGCCGTAAGGCCGAGAGGCGCCGTACAGCCGTTTCATTCTTGGTAATGTTGTGAACTATAAATAGCTCAGGTGCGCTGCGTGGTCAATGGTCTGTTCGCCAAGCTTAGCAGTTGTCACCAATCCGGGTGACACCGTCTTGGCCACGGGCGATTGATCAACGGCCCGATTGGGGTTGCTGCTGGAATATTACTCAGGTGGTCGCGGGTTCGAATCTCCATGGATGTTCGTGGGTTACGCACTGCTAATAATCTCATTAAAGATCGGCTTCATAGGATCAACCTTCGAATGAAGAAACCACACTATCTACAAACTGAATTCGGCTAAGGAAATTTTGGAAAGCTTTCATTCGGTTGATTATTTGGATGTGAGGTAGACAAGTCGGAAATCCATACAAAACGACCGGTTAACCGAGCATGTTTGAACTCTGGAAATTGTCTTTCTAAGCAAAACTCATTTAAACCAATCTGGCATCCATTTGGCTCTGTTTTTTAATTCCCGATTTTTGTGTATCGTTCTTCGTAGAATGGCTTTACTCCGTTGCATATTGCCTGTAAGAAACAGAAGATTCGTGTGGTTGAACTACTTCTTCGATATGGAGCTCAAATCGACATGATTACGGAGGTAAGCAACCGCTAATGTGTGAGTTTTAGTTCACAGCACTTACAACCCTCTTGCTGTTACAACGAAATTATTCTGGTGGTTCCACACCAGAGCTGGAAGGCAGGCTCAAGTTTCACTCATCAGATCCCAATTAACAGAGCGTATCCTTGTCCGTACCCGGATCCGAACTCTGGACATCTGACATTTGATGCGAGCATGTTACCATTAATCCATTAGATCACATTGAACTTGAATTATCACATCTGAACAGGCGATTGTTTTTACGCCTGAGCAATGTGATTGGTTTCCCCGACGCCTCAAACGACGACCAATTAAATGTCCTGACTGTTTAGATCGATTGAGCTTCCTGTCAGGAGGTCCCATTCAGGCAGCGCCACGGACTCTTTAAAGCTGCTGGATATTTTTAAATTATTTCAGGTGATTTTTGAAATTATACAAATCCCTCATCTACCTACAAAAGTTTCTATGTCGTCTAATGGCAATGTGCATCTGTTCAGCTTCTTTGTCTTTATTCCTGCTAGGTTTTTTCTATCGCCATTCCTGCGTTGCCCTGCCCCCTGACCTCCATTGTTTCTGTCAGCTGCCGTAGCTTTGGTTTATAGGACGATATGGCAAAGTGTTGCGTTGCAACGCGATTGCGTACATCCCGATTCTGGACAGCTATATGCATTGCGGTGTTGCTTACTTGTCCACTTTCAGGGTTTTGTTGTGTGTATCGGGATCACCCACTTCACCATTGTTTGCGCTGTCAAACTAAGGGTACCTCCACCAATCATTATGGATACTAATATCCTCCTAGCGTGATCTGCAGCCACCTTTAATCGATCCCTAATTGTTATCTTTGTTCTATAGTACGTGCATTCACCTATCCATCTCTGTCTCCTCGATAGTCCGGCCTGTCCCCACTGCACGTAGCTGCCTTCATTGGTAGTCCAGAAATCGTTCAGCTTCTGCTGCAGAATGGCACCTATGTGGATCAAGCTACGATGCGGAGTGAAACTGCGCTCCATCTTGCCGCGCGAAATCGTCAAGTCGAAGTGGCTCGCGCCCTCATCTTTCACGGTGCAACTGTGGATGCCAAGGCGAAAGTGAGGAGTTGTGTTCATTGCTTCACCAGCACACTTGCATACCTTTCAGCCTTCTGTACTTGAATTCGCCGTCCTACATCGAAGTATATAGTTAATCGTTTCCGTGCATAAATGTATGCATTCTGAAATAAGCAGAAATAGTGGCTGCCATCAAGTAACAACTCCTAATAGTAGCAACTCGACCGTGAATCTCGGTCAGTAGGTTGCGTCTAGACTACCTCGAAGCGATCCTGAGAAAGACATCCTCCATGTAACGTAGTACGATCGCGACAGGGGCTCAAAATACCCTTCAAGGTTGGAACAGGTTTACATACTTGTCCGATCAGAATCATGTAGATATTCGGAAACCTACCACAGATTTTACTATATCACTCTGGAGCCTACAGGGAACACGGAGTGTCTTCCTATTTACTTACGACCGACATAAACGTCTTAGCGATAGACATTCGTTCTCACTTTCAGTTTCCGCACAAGTGTTGCTGCATGTCATAGATGCATCGACGTCCCCAAAGTTATTCTTGTTGACGTACCTAAGTAGACGATTTTTAAAATGAGCTTCCAGGGTTTGTTTTGATTCTGTAGGTTTCGCTCTAGGAAATTTCTACGACCATGTTCGTCATTTTCTGATCCTCGCAGGATGATCAAACTCCACTGCATATGGCTGTGCTTACTGGACATGTAGAGATGGTCGTCCTACTCTTATCAGCCGGTGCTAACCCCAATTTGACAACCCGCGATGCCTATACAGCCATGCACATTGCCGCGAAGGAGGGTCATCAAGAGGTCATTCGTCTACTGTTGGATTCTCATGCGGATCCAGTAGCACGCACCAAAGTAAGCTAGAATCCTGCTAGTGTTTTCACTAAGCTTCCTATTTCTTTTCTCTTCAACAACTGTCAACTTTGTGATCTATGCGACCTTTTGCCCTGGTTCCCATTGCAGAAAGGTTTCATTCCGCTTCACTTGGTGCTTACTGGCATGTAGAGATGGTCGTCCTACTCTTATCAGCCGGTGCTAACCCCAATTTGACAACCCGCGATGCCTATACAGCCATGCACATTGCCGCGAAGGAGGGTCATCAAGAGGTCATTCGTCTACTGTTGGATTCTCATGCGGATCCAGTAGCACGCACCAAAGTAAGCTAGAATCCTGCTAGTGTTTTCACTAAGCTTCCTATTTCTTTTCTCTTCAACAACTGTCAACTTTGTGATCTATGCGACCTTTTGCCCTGGTTCCCATTGCAGAAAGGTTTCATTCCGCTTCACTTGGCCGCCAAACGTGGACGTGTCAAAGCCGCACGTCAGCTGCTTCAAATTCAACCGAAGAGTGTGAACACGGCTGGTCAGAATAATCTTACACCACTACATTTGGCCGCGCACTACAACCACCTTCGTCTTGTCGAACTTTTGTTGGACAGTGGTGCGGAAGCAGATTGCCGTGTGCGTTCATTCATCTTATCTCGCGTGTTTTAAATGGCCTGTGTTCTTTTCGTCCACACTTGCTCACTATTTGTTTTTCCCAAACTAGGCCGGGAACGGTTACACCCCACTCCATATCGCCGCGAAGCAAAACCATTTGGATATTGCTACACTTTTGTTGGCTCACGAGGCTGAACAGTCACAAAGTGGGAATGCGGAGTCACGTGGTGGTTTCACTCCATTACATTTGGCAGCTCAAGAAGGGCATACTGATATGGTTTCTCTTCTCCTACAGCACGGGGCAGACCCGAACCATCAGTCTAAAGTAAGTCCAATTCTAAGCCTCGAGTCACCATCACAGTTGTTCGTTCCAATACGTGCTTTCAATTCTCATCTCGTTTATCCTACCTTCAGAACGGACTCACTCCCTTACATCTGGCAGCGCAAGAGAATCACGTCCCAATAGCGCGCGTTTTACTATCCACAGGTGCCGATGTTTCACTGGTCACTCGTGCCGGATACAGCTCATTACACACGGCCTGCCATTTCGGACAACTTGAAATGGTCCGTTTTCTCTTGGAGGTCACGCATGCTACCGATATCAACCTTCCCACTCAAATGGGTTTCACTCCGCTACATTTGGCTACACAACAAGGGCATTCTCAAATCGTATCGTTACTTTTGGAAATGGGAGCTGATGGTAACTTACGTAATCAGGTGAGCCGTACCGTTATATCTTATTACAGTATGCCGGAGTCTTTTACCGGTGATCGGCCTCTGAACTCCGAATTTTTGGCCTGTTTATAGTCAACCGGTGCGAGAATATAAACTAATTTTTGGGCTTGAGTAGATTTAGGGGCTTCTATCTCAGGGTTTCAGATTGTGCAACTTAAATACCGCGCGAATTCTCCTTTCATCCATTTGTTCGGTGTTCCATTTGCCCATCCACCATTTGCTTCACTATATTGTGGAGGAAACGGAAGCAGGGAATTTGAAATGGAGTGATTTTTCCCCGTCACAGCCATACCGTTTTTCCCCTCCCTCCTCCACACTAAGTGGGCAGAAACGGAGACAGCGATCAGCTATATTTCCTGCGTCTCCAACTTAATGCCTAAAGGTTTGGTAGCTCTTTTTACGAAGAATTAGTCGCACCAGCGTTTGGTTCGATGCGTCATGGGATTTCTGAAGGAATTCTACGTGTCTTGAGCGGTGGTTAGGGAATTTGCTTTGACAGACGATATAGACCTTTTGATTATTCCAAGCTCCAACATTCTTCACGCACTTGATCTATTTACTTAGTATTACGTGATCAAAGGACAGGCAGTTGGCTAAATTTTGGAATCCGTTGTTTACGCCCCTTCATATTGCACCATGCAAACTGTTTTTCGTAGCTTGATTTACTTGTTCGACGACGATTTAGTGCGTGTTGTAGGTGGGGTTTGCAACCAACGACAACGACTAAAAGTTGTCGGGTTAGTGCAAGCTGGGACCGTAGACGCAAAACCTCATCAATACTAAAGAAAAGTCTGTTTACTGTCTCGAGATGCGATACAACCGCCAAGGTTTTGTAAATTTCCGGACTGCACCACAAGTTGCATGCTCTTTGCACGAATGTGAGAGCTCATTCTTACCGTTCATCTTCTGTAGATACTCAGAAAATCGCGTTTCCATGAATATCGTCGGCAGCAGTACAACAGTTATAGATACTTTTTTACTTGCCCCACGATAATGAGGAATGATTACCATGGTAAGAAGTTGAATGAAAGAGAAGGGGTTGCAGCCTGGCGAAAAAAGACCCATGTCCTCAGGAAAAAATCGATATGTCTGAATCGAAATGTCTGAAGATCGGGTTGGAGTAAGATGTCGTCGGCGGGGTCGAAGCATTATCCCTTGCGTACCCTAGCTGACACAGGTCCAGTACACAATACCAGACTGATTATAGCAACCCAGCCTGGTTAGAAAGTAAGAACATGCTCACCAATCTGGTTAGTTGCTGGTCACATCGAAGCACGTTCCCAGCGAAGTGAATGCACTGACGACGTCCCTTCCAATGGTGGCGAAACATTTGCAGGTTGATTGCCAAACTTGGCGAACAAACCAACTGCCCCCCCCCCTTATCAGCAGATTATTATCGCACCAGAACTACCACTATTTCGGCACACTTCAGAATCGGGAATCGGTGCGGTCTTGCTGCGTCCGTTATTAGGCTGTTTGTCAGTTACCTCAATCGCGTTAGCGAGGAAAATTACAACCAACTTAGAGGGGAAGCGTTGGCTGTTATCTTCATGCTGAAGAAGTTCCACGGAATGCTGTAGTGACGACATGTTTTCTTCTACACGAACCATAAATCTATCATTCCCATGAGTGGGTCTCCAAGAGTGTCGCTCCGTCTATGCTACTAATCGCCATCTACGCTGCATTACCATGACTCTTAGTTTCGATTTTTGCATAGCGTACAAACCGACGCCATCTGTGTTGCCATGTTGATCTACTGTCGCGCCTAAAATCCCAATGAACTGTCGACAAGAATGATGGTGACACATTAATCGCATCAGTTTCCACCGACGTCGTAGCCTGACAACTCCTGGAATCCGCTCTATATCTTCCTAGCCCGGCTTAAGTAATTGCTAAGGCAACTAGGCATGACTTTTCTTGAGGAACATTATTGGATATTAGTAAAGGGTGGATGCAAACTGCTGTCTTCGCAAAGTTTAAAAGCTCTGAGTGGTTGTCTCATGTTGGGTGACCGTGTTATCGTCGCTCTAATTTATGCCCATGGACTCTCCATTTGGGTGAACGTTAGTGAAAATGTTTGTAGCTGCGGACAGTGTGCAATGATGGCCTAACTTCTATTGAAATTTCAGTCGCTTTCTTTTCTTTAACTCGGAAATGCATTGGGTTTCGTCAGTCCAGTGGGATCTTATGTGCTACCGTTCGTTATCGGTGTTCTATCAAGTTGTGAGAAGTGTCTTCTGGTTAGCTGAGCTTCAACCGCCCAAACGATCTTCATCCTTATCAGACTGTGATTTGCAGTCCCTGACCTCCTGATGAAGGATAACAGAGCTCGGTTTACAGATCATGAATTCGCTCAGTTTGCCGCTTCTTGAGGATAGCAATATTCACCTAGCCCTTCCTACTATGCGCAACCCATCGATCAAGTTGAACGCTTTTTGGCATTTAAGTTGGGTTTAATGAGGCCAGAAAGTAGAAGAACTATCCATCAAAATGTGTGAGCGAAACCCGGTAACTCGATGTCCAATCAACAATCTCCAGGAGAAATGTTTCCCGTGAAACGGGTGCGCTTTTCCTCAGAAACACTGCTGCCCATAAAATTTTATTCTAGGAGAGACCGCGAAACGGAGAGATGCCGTTACAATATCACATTTCTTCAATCAAAACACCCTCATTTATGTAAGAAATCTCCGGAGTCGGGTAGAATATACACCTGGAGTAGTCCCATATCCTATCACCCTTGCTTGTGCTTTGAGTGAAGGCTAAATTGAACAAACACAGATGTAAGCGTCCGTTCCCCACCAAGCCCTACATCATCCCAGTACGACATTTCCCATGTCCCAGGTCACCAACCAAGGGGCTCGTTATCAATCCCAGCTTTAAATCGTACGATGAGTGCCTGAACTTTTCTGCCAGAATTTTTTACGCGGAAAAATGTGCAGTGTCCTTATGTTGCGTTGCTGTTTGACGTAATAATGGTTATTCCTACAAAGTGTGAATTCCATCCCGTAATTGCTCTTTTGGTTTTTGTACTATATTGCGTGTGTTTGAAGTAAATCTAGCAATGGGCCAGAAATAAGACATTTCTTCCTTAGTGTGGCTGTGTAACCGTTCTGTACATGTTACATCTATAAGAAAACTGGGATGTTCTTAAGACGCGATCAAAAGGAAGTGTTTCTAAGTATGACTACTCCTGTTTGGAGCGATCCAACAGCCGTTTACTTGCGGCTGGAATCTCTGTTTCTTTTGTCACAAATCCGTTCGAGGATGGCCAGCCGGCTGATGTCTCTTCGACCTTTAGGATCGTTACAATTGCGACACTCCGTTGGTTGACTCACCTTGGAGCATTGTCTGTTATACGATTTTGGGGTGGTCTTTGTTCACAAAAATGCCTGAGTCAGAAGTTGCGGCCACCTTGGTCCGCGTGACCGGTTGCGCATCGTTTGCCTCCCGGTGAGAATTTGATTTATGACTTTCTAATAGTGATTAGTACATTTTCTATTAGTTGTCTTTGTGGCACGTACTGCGCTTCAAGGTGGTGCTTCATTCAAGGTGGTACAACCCCGCACCTACCATTTGTCCTTATTATACTGTTCAGGGTTATTTTCCCCTATCTAACTTCAAGCATTAATGTCAGAATCAGCGGTCAACTGTTACACAAGAGTTGGTTCATCCACTTTATTTGCTCACTATTTTAATGTCCGTAATGACCCGGATTCAAATGCAACCTTCACACATCTAGAGTATGTAGCTTAGAGACAGTAGTCTCCTCACATTTACCTAAATAACTCTGCCGCACGTTTTGGCGTGCGCTTCACACCTGCAAAGTGTAAAGTGCTGCTGCAAGACTGGGCGGGATCAAACCCACACCTCATGCTTGCAGGTGAGCCAATCGACGTGGTAGATGAATTTGTTTACCTGGGCAGTTGTATAAGTCCGGATGGACTGGCTGGAGATTAGATTATTTCTCGAATCGGAAAGACCAGGGCACCGACACCTATGGCGCCGATGTGACGTGAGTTTGTCTGTCAAGGGAGGAGTTTATACTGCGGTGGTGCGATCCACACTGCTTTGTGGATGAGACGTGGCCCTTACGCGCAGAGGACATACGGAAGTTGTCAGTGTTTGATCATCGGTGCCTCTCAAGCCTTGGTCAGGTCTGGTGGCAACATCAGATTAGTAATGCTGGGGTGCGCCAAATGTCTTAAGAACTCTCCCGCGATAGATGAACTACCCACGTTCCATAGGTTGCGCTGGTTGGGGCGTGTACTCCGTATGCCAGAAGATTGTCCGCAACGCACAGCTCTTTTCGCCCAGCTGTGTGGTGAGTGGAAGGGACCGAGAGGTGGACAATGTATGACCTGGCAACGAAGTACGAAAACATTAACCAGTAAACGAAGTCGGGTATGCAACTGCCGCCTCCCTGTATAGGGACCCCGGGACTCAAATGGTTATTGACATTGGCGGAAATGGCTCAATCGCGCAGTCAGTGATGCATCATAGCTATCGCCTTCAATGCACAAGTACCCGATCTCCGAGCAAACTGAGCATGCTTTCGCCTACAAGGCTTGGTTTTGTATTCCACTTTCCCGTTTTCCGTTGATCGAAACTGCAGCAGCTGGAACCAATGTGCCGATGATACACGGTTTATAGCTGATGAATTGATTGAATTGACCCGGAATTCTTTGTCTACTTACTACTTCTTCTACTTACTACTTTGTCTACTACTTACTTCGGAATCAGGCAATTCTACTTACTAGTTTGTCTACTACTTACTTCGGAATCAGGCAAAAGCATAATCAAAACAACTTGTCCCGATGGTCGTTCCGGAAATTGGTGTGGTGGTGCGGCTGTTTGTTAGTGGGACAGCTTTGACGACGAAAACAGTATTCATATAATCCGCAATGCCACTGATACTCACGCCGCTCACACTATTCGGGCAAGTCGGTTGAAGTTAAGCATTCACATTCACTGTCTCCGTTTTATTAAAAACACAACACTTCCCCACCGATATGGAGATAGTTCCTCCTTGTTGTGAATACAGATCAGCAAAACATTAAACCAGCAACCATCTACTTTTCTTCACAATGTACGCCTATAGGCATGACCCAGCGAGCATGTTTCCTTGTTCCGTGCTGTGTAAGAAAGCTGACACTTGCATGCTATTCAGTCGCACTGAGCTAATGTAATTCAACGGGTATGGTTGTACAGCCATGTATCTTTGTCCTGCTGGTTTTCCTACTCTCCTGTGAGTGTCTTGTGCGTACCACAATCGGAAAGAACACATCATCCCAGTGGTCCGTTTTACATGATAGGAACTAATCAAGAATACATGCGTAACAACAACCTACTTTCTCTTGTAGTTACATTTCTGTTATGGGTTGGTTTGGCGTAATCCATCTGTTTCGTTACGAAGTGCGCAAAAGTGCACTTCGTTGCATTCACGCTGCAGCTGCAATGTTACAAACGCACCGGTGATCAAATTTTTACAGGCTTGTTTGGCCTTCAAGTCGTAGGGCCCAGTTTTCGCAACCACGAAGTAAGACTACCCTTACAGTCAGCTTATGTACACAACCCTTCAGTTTTGGCAAAATTAATTTTACCGCAAACTATCAAATGACCCTCATGCCTTACCAATGCGTAGATCGACTTCATCCTTTGACAGTATCATCATGATATGCGCGGCTGTCAAGATAAGTGAACCTATCAACTGCATCAAGCTCATCACTTTGATGTTTGAAAGACGCACAAGTTGCTCCGGATGCAGTACTGCACTGCGGAAAACGCATGCCATTAAATAGAACTACTTCTGACACTGTTGAGAACCTAATATGCCATTTTGAGGTAGTCAAAAACCACATCAGTATCGGGTTTGAATAACGAAAACTAGGCAGCGAATTTGAGCGATGGCATGCATCCGTTTATATTACTGATTCCTTACAGCTGGTTTCATCAAAATGATGCTTTTCAAATAGGAGAAAACGGCGTTAAGGAGTGATCGTAGAGAAATATGGTGTCAGAAGTTGCAAATTGCCGCTCATCTGTCTTGTTGTATTCAGCAAATAAGGTAACGGGCTATAATGCACGAAGATACTTTTTTGATAATTCCGGGGGCCAGGAGGACGGTTAGAGTCTTCTGCCAAAATTTTTTACCCAAAACCGTCAGCCACATCTTTTGGCGTAAAACTTCTGGGTTACAAGGCGCTACACTCGTTCGAATCTTCAATCTGGTTTTCAGGAGACTCTGTCATACCTTTTTGATTGACCAACTCGGTTGAACTGGCACCCCACAATGTAACTCGATGAGTCGCTGAGGTACGCAGACCTTTGCAGCACGGTCCAGTCTGATCATGTGTTCATCCCTTCGCAGAACTAACCTCAACTATTTCACTGACAAACTGCAAAAAATGAGCCTATTTCAATCGAATGAGATTAAGCCTCCTTCATTACCTAATCTGAAGAGCAACCATCACTTATACATGTCTGTCAATTTCAGTGAAGTACTACAAACACTGTCCCTCTAAGGCAGTTCCACTGAAGGGATATCTTCCTTTTGGAGACAGCTATAATTGGAACGACTTGTTTCCAGAATGATCAGCTTACATCTCCACGGAGGTAACTCCAGCAGTGAAGCAGCAGCACTCCAATCTTCTAACCTTGAAGTGACGATGCTTTTTGTTACTCAGCTCTAAATAAAGCGTCATACCTTGGTCATTCTAGCCTGTTCTTTCTTCTAAGCAGAGACCTACGACTTAGAAACAGCTTAGTATTATCCGTCAGTCTCTGATAGAGCAGGTACTGTATGCTCTATTGATATTGGTCTTGCTTCAATATTGCATTTCCCACCATTATATGTTTTCTGGTTTGTTTCCTATGACAGCAAGGTCTAACTCCGGCTCACATCGCCCGAAGACAGCATTTCGTCACCATTTTCGATATCTTGAAAACTGTAACCACGACGGTGGTCAGCTGGGAGGAGGAACAAGAAGAGCTGGATGGTACACTTCTACTGCAACAGCCTGACTTCATGCGTGAACACCCATTGGAATCAGATGATGAAGGTACTGAAGTGTCAATATGGCGCATTTTACAACCTATTTTCTGGTATCAGTTGGCGTTTGTGGTTCCCGTGCATAATTGGTGTGCACCACAGCTTTGGTTGTTTCAAAGGTAGCCATGACGTATCTTCTGAGCTTTCTAATATGACGAGTGAAGAAACAGTGGTTAAGATTGACTAAATAGAGAGTGATCACCATTTGGGTTGTGATCAGTTTGCACTCAAGTTCGTCATTTTCAGGTTGGACGTTACCATTGCTGGGTGCAGTGTATATTTCTTTGACTGTGTTCCTGATGTGAACAGGTGCTGTCGTTCTCTCTAACCCGCACTTTGTCAATTGGGGGCCATTTTCCTACTAAATTACGCATGCGTATTTCCTAGTCCAACATAGTTCTCCTATATCATCGTAAAAATGGGATCATGGTACGCCTGTGGGTTTTGGAATAAAGCTCGTGACTGGTGGTATCCTGCATTACGACCGAGCGACGACCTCTTGGCCTTTAAGAAAGCATTCACACCAAGATAGACCACCTCTGAAATCTGATATTCTCGAGCTTATATTGTTCTCAGATGTCCACTTTCTCGGGATATATTTCTACCGTTTATCGAACTTAAGCCGGGTATCCCACTGTTTAGCGTCCTGGACTTTCTTTTTGTCCCTTGCATGGAGGAGACTTCAAGTTAGCTACCGGATCCCGTGTGCGCATGTTTCATCAGTGAAAGTCTTGAAAAGATATTTTTTTAGCGCTCAACGGTGCTTCAGAATCGTGCTTATCTGACACATAGTACCCTTATGTGCCATGGACTACTGTTTTCCGAATAATAGTTGTCTTTTCATTTCCCACTTTAGGCCTGTCTCCAAGGACACCGCGAAAGGGCGCTCCAGTAAAGCCCACGGCGGAAAGCGTGGCTTCCGGCGGATCTCCCGTGTGCGCATGTTTCATCAGTGAAAGTCTTGAAAAGATATTTTTTTAGCGCTCAACGGTGCTTCAGAATCGTGCTTATCTGACACATAGTACCCTTATGTGCCATGGACTACTGTTTTCCGAATAATAGTTGTCTTTTCATTTCCCACTTTAGGCCTGTCTCCAAGGACACCGCGAAAGGGCGCTCCAGTAAAGCCCACGGCGGAAAGCGTGGCTTCCGGCGGATCTTTTGGAGAACAGAAAAGTAAGAAATATTAGATTAAACCAGTGCTTCACTGTTTGAACTAAATTTTATTAGGTCCACGTAAGTTTTTGCTGTGATACTCGTAACAGAAGCATCGCTCTATCCGAAACTGAATACGTAGGAACTGGCAACGAGCGGTTGGGTTAGTGAGCGTGTTCAGTAACATCATGACACGGATGCAAGAGTAGAAACTGGATCCAGCCACTCAATAATGACCACCCTGGAGAAAGGTACATTAGAACTCTCTTCGTGAGTAGCCTTGTGTCTGGGGTGGGAGTACGCCAGCTTGTGACTGGTGTGAGGGAAATTCATTCATTAATTCACTTGATCACAAAGACTAACTCATCCCCTTTAACTCGGAATAAAACTTCCCAAATGTTTACTAGGACTGTTAGTCACTTAGTGTAAATATTGCCTTGTTTACTCAGATGATTTCCCTCCATACTTTGATGTGTCACGTGGGGTGCTTCATGGTCGCATGTGACTTTTGACAATATGTGTAACTTCCCCTTGACATAGTGACTTGGAAACACGTTTGTTGAAATGGTTTCTGCGTGACCTTTGGGAGCCACATACTGATACTTTCTGCTACAGTTGATCCGAAACGAGGATCTTGGTCTCTGTTGTTCGATATAAAGTCTGTTGATTCTATCAGCGGTCTTTGGTTTATCACTGCCGTGTTTTATTCTGTAGTCAGAAAGCTCGGTACAATTTCTTACACACTGTACATCAAAATTAGGTTTCAACCATCCTAGGCTTCAACATCATATTGAACTGTCAAACTTGATCCCTTCGCTCTTGCAAAATGAAGTAAATCTTCAGTGAGTTCACGTTTCCAGTAAGGTCACTAAAATTCCCGCTAACAGTTTGGTTCGCTGGGCCCATCGTACCACTCTTCTTATCTCAACTATAAGTGCATCCTTTTTGCTCGCCAATTTTTTATTTTCATCAAACATGTCATAAGTGACATACTTCGAACACGAAGTCTAATTCCGTGCTGTTCCTGACGAACCAAGTCATTCAACCTGGCCCGCTCAGCCTAAGGTAAAGACGGCAATATGCCCAATTTACCAACAGTAGATATGTACTACACATATCTACCCACATGACTATCTTTAATTTGTTTGGCTGGAAGGTGTCCGCCCTGACGAAGCTCCCGAAATTTACCTGACAACTCAGCCTCGAACGCCTCCTACCTCTTGTTGTTCACTTGCAGTTTCAATGACACCTACAGCAGTCGAATGTATCGTTGGTTTTCTTAACGAATCCGTGAATATTCAACGAGGCGGTTATAGCGAATCAGACATTAAGCTTTCCGAATCTCATAGACCATGACACAGGTAAAGGTAATCAAAAGAATGACATGTCACTGAGTTGTATTTCTGATCACATCCGGACTTTTATCAAGGTTTGCACGTGGCCTTCTTTGGTTGTCGAAACGCGATAGGTGACAGTATACCTGAATAATTGGTTCAAGCCATCCATCTGCCTCACCCCATTCCTCTCCATATAACCCGAAGAAATCACCAAGGTTGATATACGATCAGATTATTTAAACCTAGACGTATTTCAGTTAGTCTTGGGTAACTTATTTTAGTACCATCCTCATAGCCAAATTTCTTTCACAGTCTTTACGAAGACGTGTGAAATGTCCAACTTATACGGCACATGCTGTGTGCGAAACGCATCAACACGCCGTTAAATTGAACAATGACTTATGAACTAAACTGATCACTAGTGAGGACTAATGCCTGTGGACTAGGAATTCGCCCCTTAAGCCAACTTTTCGATCGAATGTGACTGAAGTGCATGTGATTACCGGTCCGGTGTTTCGTAATTGTGAGGCTTACTGACGACCGAATTCGTTCTAGAATTGTGTTGTGCTACCCCTGTTTACCTCCTTGCCATTCAGGTCGAACGGGAACGTTTAGCCTTGGATTTGATACTGGGCTATCTGTCGGTGAGAATGACGATATCTGGGGACAACTGGAGTACATGCGTTCTACACTGAGTAAGCCTGTTTAAACACTTTCCTTGGCACATTTCACACATGTTTTCGATGCAGAACAATCGGCTATAAATGTTTGGCGTGCCATTATGGGAACAGAAGTGGTTACCGAATAAAATTAGAATGTAAACTGGACGCTCTGGCTAATCTCATGGGGGCGACCATCTTCATAATACTAGAACCAATTGTAAAGGCAGAGCTTCCCTGCAGAACTCGATGTCACAGCCGTTCAAATCTGCCCTTCTGTGTGCTTTGTCGCCCCTTGGCTCAAACCACCCAGTTTTTGGATTTGGATACGTACCCATACAATCCGGCATTTGCATTCATTTGTCTCTTACTGTTAACTCCATCAGTTGGTTACCGCGGATGGTCCACACCGGTCTTGACATTGTTTATGCACTTCGATAAGCACTGACACCAGGTGGGGTTGTTTTCCGAGATACTTGTTCTGGCCTTTAATACTTTTGAGGTTGTCGGAAAAAAGAAGTTTTAAAGCTTGTCTGTGACCTGTTGTGTTGTGTTACCTTGCATCGTGTAACGCGTCATTAGTTGTTATTTCCGTGTCCATATCAGTGGTTTGGGAAGAAACTCTTGTATATCCCGTGTAGCTTACGCAACATTCTTCAATTATATGTGTTATCACCACGTCGACTTTCTGCAACCTTTTGAGTAGATGTATCTTTAAGTTGATTGAGGTTTTGGTGGATAATTCGGGTCTCAGTGCCATGTACCTTTGTGGGTTCAGTAACGTTAAATTCGGCATCGTAGTTTCATAACACATGGGCATGCTGCGCTCATGATTTCATTCAATGTTAGGCATCAGAACGAATCTGTAAGACCAAAGACGTGGAAACCAGCTCCTTACCGGAAGTTTCCACAGCCAGCAAGAGACTTTTGCCGAGAACCGATGGGATCTGATTCTAAAACTCTGCCAGTCCTATATCTTGCTTTGTTCCATGGCGAAGTGCCCTATCGAGCTCAAGGGCCTCGGGTTTTCATATCAAACTGTTCGTTATTAGATACGTCGTATTCCTGCTAAATGTGTATTTCACCGTGCCCGAAACGGGCTACTCAGTTGAATTTATTCATTTAGTTTCCATTGGTCTGATTGATGACAAAGGCGGTTGGTAGTAATCCGGACAACATACCAGCTTTCTACCATTTCGGGTGGATTTATTGTGTTCATCAGGAGTGTTTTGGCAGTAGCCCAGTATATCACTGTTCTTTACACTTTAACCAAAGATTTATACTCATAATGCAGAAGCTGTCGGCAGACGCGTCGGTTAACCTTCAAGCTGTCACCAAAGAGTCATTTTTGACTGATTAGCTACATGGGATTCTTGTCTGGGAGACACTCACTGGAACGGTTATTCAATGTTGGCTCACCTAATGCGACCTGCTATTTTCTGTATGGATGTTAATCAAACTGCTTATCAGCTGTAGAACTTTAGGATCTGCTTACATATTCAAGGGATGCGCAGTGCTGACAATTTCTTACAGAAGGTACCTCATTGGTGGGCGAAAAGTTGTTTCCGTGCGATTGGTCCTCAGGCCCTTACGTTAGCGGTATAACAGACATTAAAGCGAAATAAGCCAAAGTAAACGCGGATATCGATCAGGGCGTGGCGGCACAAGAAGATGAGACAGACTGAAGGACGTCGACCACTCTCAGACAGACAAGAGACACGTGATAAGCAATGTTTTACGACTTATGGATCGGCTAGATGGCCGGTGACGTATGTGGTCTTGGGACATCGTTCGTATCAAGGCAACACAAAATCATGGAAAAATCCCTTCACTTGTGTCAATTCGAATTGGAAAGATCTACTGGGCCTTGTGTCTAGCCTTGGAGTCATTTGCGGGAACACAGCGAAGGATGGTCGAACTCTTTCGACGTTGTAGTTTGAAGTGACTAGGTGCCCCTAAGTTAAACTGTTGGATTTTTCTGTCCCACCAGTCGACATTGTCGTACTCTGTTGTCTCCTAGTACAACCAGCTGAGCACGAACACAGGAACCGAAAAGGGCACATTAGCAGTCGTCTATGTCAACTTGCCTGTAGTCTATTGAACGATTGCTTAACGAGACTCCGACCCTAACCATATTGTAAATGCGCGTACTGATCTCAGGTAAGCGCCGAAAAATACTCACAAACGTTCCTTGTAGTTAGGATATTTGTCTGTATTTCCTCATACGTCCCGTCATAATAGCAGTATCTGAGTGATGGATGCATGTTCTTTCCCAAGAACTTGTCTACTACTTAAGGTGTTCTAGCGCCATTTGCAAGGTAGTTCTTGGGGCAGTTGCGTGTAATTCTACTTTTAGACATTTCGGCAAATTTCGCTTTCTCTGTAGTGCAGCGGCACTGAAGATATCTACCTAGTGGCCTAACGATTTAGGTTTTAATGGTCCGAGTTAGTGAATTATCTCTGCCACCTGGAAGTGTCTAGGAATGGAATAAAACCGTTTTGCTTCAATTCGTCGGCGGATTTGATAGCTGGATGTCCGGCGACACTCTAGCAGGTGGACAAAGTTTACAGTAGGGTAATACGGCGGCAGATGTACTGTTGTTTGATGCCAGGCGCTAGTATCCTATGCTCCAGTCATGATAATAGCAGTCTGTAAGCCCAGTGCGGCAGCATTCCTTTGCTGGTAAAGTTCTGCGTCAAAAGGGCTGATTGAACGTGCAGAAGATGTCGAAGTAACCGGTCCTTTGACAGTTTTGTTGTGGTTTAGTGATTCACCAACTGGAAATCCGCTGCCCCCTCAGTGGTTAGTGGTAAGTAAATGTACCATTTTTTCAGAAAAGTTCATATTTTTGACCAACTCAAGGTATTGCATAATTGGTACTTTGTCCATTCAGAATACGTTTTAAAAACCCTGCCATCCACTGCGCGATTGAACCGTAGACAGATGCGCATATCGCTTGTTAGATAAATATTCTTGCAAAATGGCCGGGATACATTTTGCACCAATTTATCAGCTCCCGCCTGCAATGCACAGCTACCTACCCCATCTCCTTGAATCGTCGTGAACGAAACTGCGGCAGCTTCAACCACTGAACGACGAGTACGCGGTTATTACAGCTGATGATGATGATAGGCTTTAGATTTTTCTAACTATAGTTGGGAAATCAAATTCAGATCCCGCAGTGATCTTATTCGATGTCCTGTCTCATCAGTTTCGTTTTCTGCACTGATTACCAGCTCGAGTTTTTGACTGGGTAGATATTCCCATTTGTCCGTATTGAGGGTAGCCAGGCCTTCGGATATGGCAATTTTCAAATTAGGTTTACGTCAACGTCCAAGTGAGCTCTCAGATTACTCGATAGTCGTCCTCCTAAATTATAAATCTACTCTTGCGCTCGACGGTCGGATACCATGTGGGAATTCAAGACGCAACCGATTTTCGCTCTGATACAGAAACCACATTCTATGGACGTGTTCCCACAATCACGTTTACACAGAAAGCGCACTGAAGTTTATCATTTCACTTGGAAGGTTACGTTCCTCTGGACGACCGAGCACTTATGTGTCCTTGGTGAATCCGGTAGTTTACATGTGGCAGACGTGACTACCTTGCTCCTGTCTTATGTGTCCTTGGTGAATCCTGTAGTTTACATGTGGCAGACGTGACTACCTTGCTCCTCGCTGTTCAGAAATCCGCTGTTTTCCAGCCAAAAGTCTACGGGAGGTTTGGAATATCATCAGAAGTGCAAATTACACTAGTCCGTACTATTATTTTTTACCGTTGTCCTGTGGCTTCTCTCAATGTACAAACCAGTTCAAGAACTTCGTGCACGTTTTTCTGTTCCATCGAGTTCCTGCAACTCAGTGCAGCTTTTAACCCTACCAATGAGTGAGGTCAACGTTGGATGACTATGTAAAGTTACACCACGTACTGGATAATTCAGTTCTGTTGGTCCCAATTAATGAGGCAGACTGGTCTCGAGCCCTGCGCTCAACGTTTTATTCTCAATCACAATTCGTTTTGGGAAGTCATTGTCTCTGCTACGTTTTATTTCTTCATGTGGATTTTGTTTTTACTAGTACGGACTGGTATGGATGTTTTTCCCAAAATACTTAACAGTAATCGATCAAACAGTTACTAGACCCGAATGGAATAAGTAACCACTGCAACCATCTGCGGATTTATTGCATTCACTATAGCTCTTTTCTACCATTACTCTAAACGATCAAGTTCGCGCAACTTGCCTGTTTGCTTTGAAGGTCCTCATGAGACTCTTCCCAAACAGGCCGAGGATCAACATGGTATGAACCGCGCCCATGCTTGTATAGCTATCCTATCCATACTGTGCATGCTCTGTTTCCTTGTTCACAGATCGTTTGGTGTTTAGCCTGATTGTTGGACCGCTCCATCGACCTGTAATCGGTTCTTTCCAGATTTTTTCACTCTGTCCCTGTTACAATTCTTTGGCATGAAACATGGGTGTGTATTATTTATGAGCTGCCTAACCTCACTTTAGCAAGCACATTTATCATCGCTTTGTGGTAACGTTTGGTTGAGTTGGACAAGTTTTTGTTTTTGCCTTTTGTTGGTTTCATAACGGACTTTTGTTTGTCCATCTAGGGTGCGTAATCTATCTCCCAGGTGTATATACACGGACCAGACCCGTTTCACTCACATCGTACGTGAAAGCTGTAAATATGCAGTACACTAACAAGTGGGAATAACTTAAATGGATTTGTTTTTGGTCCATTCATAATAGTATTTTACCACGATTAGCTGTTTGTGTTATGTCCCGTCATCCGATTTACACTTCAGTGGGAGATTTTTGTTATTCAACCCTCTGTGGCAACCACTGGTGAGGGTCGTCGAAAGAAGGTCGCTGGGGAGAGTCGACGCTGCAGCTGTAATCTCACGATCGTTTGTGAGAAGAGATTTACAAGTTATAGTCCAACCGGATAGGCTACCTGCCCTAGCTACCGCCTGCCGGAAATGACAGCTAGTTTTACGGGTGCCGGGACAGGCTTCTGAGGGGACCGACCAAGCCCTGCCGCTTGTGTGAATAGACTTCTTTTACATAGACGGATTTACACTGTGGATGTAGATGAAACCACAAGAAGCCTGATATGGTGGTTTGTTCACGTGTGTTGATCTCCATTAGGTAGGCTGTTTGCCGCAATGTTGCGAAATAAGGGAATCTTGGGTTCGCTGCTTGGTTGTCGGTCTGTTCGCCGAGTTCGGAATCTGGATTGCAAACGTTTCATCGAACTGTCAAGCTCGGCAAACAAGTAGCTAGCTAGTAATGAGCATTATTGATTCTGCTGCGTCCCCCCTAAGCCCCATTCCGTGTAGACGATCGATTGAGTCGTTTTGAGTCATCAGAGGTGTATAGCCCATAACTCAATCTCGCACTGATGTTGTCATCTCGACCGGTGATGGAACATTTGCAACCCAACTGCCAAGCTCTTGGAGCAGACCATTGACCAAGCATCGTACCTATATTCCACAGCCAGCTCAAATCAGTGCCCCAATCATTCGGAACGCTCGTGAGCGCATAAAGTTCACGGTTTTAAGCGGGACAGAAGTTTCCCCATAAGGAGTTATTCAATAGGTTTGCTTGCAAATCTGCTGAGCTGTAGCAGGCATGTATTGTTAGCCGCATAACTAGGGTATTCAATTTCGCAGACTCCATTGTGGACTCAAAACAGCATAAAGCCTAAATAACCATTCTGATTGATCAGTCAATTTTCAATTGAGTTCAATGACAAGAGGCTATTTTGTATAGCCAGTGTTTCCATGGGAAGCATCGTTTCCGAAAGAAAGCGGACCTGAACCGCCTGGAATTCATGCTTAGCGTTTGTCTTTAATTTTCGTCTCATCGGAAATTTTAATGCGCCCTTGTTTAGCAGTATTTCGCAGTGAAAGCGTGGGGTGATGCTGTAACCCTATTTTTATACGTCTCGTTGACCGGAGGGCTGCATTTAATTATGAGTGGCCCTTCGGGTTATTGATTCTGATGGCTCGTTCTCTGATTGGTAGGTGTTCAATTAACCTTGACCTCTGCGACTAGCACCCGGTGACCTTCGTGCTGTGGGGGGTTGTGGTGGTCACATTTACCAGCTAGTTCGTTGGTTATCTCTGAGTTATCCGGTTGGGTTGATGATCCTTTTCTCCTAGTGGGTCAATTTCTATAAGTCAGTTCATCGAGTTTGCGACCGACATTCCTTCCTAAAGACACCTTGCATGCCTTGTATCTCTGCGTACCCACACAGTTTTCTGGATTGCACTTGTGTCCCTATCGTTTTTCGCATATGGTAACCAGGGAGAGTGGATCACGTTTTCCAAATGTCGCATGTGTGCTTTAATCCCTGGACATGATATCCGTTTAGTTTGTCCACTGCAATATCTGTCGCATTCCAGGGTTTGGGCTTGTTAGTTCCAGTACGATGTGCTCCATCTTTTGCACTCCTGCGTCGACGAAATATTACCTCCAGGAACAAAGGTCATCAGCAGAATCGCTCAACTCGTCACGTCCACCGGTAACGAAATGTTTGCAGCCAAATAGCCAAGCTCAGTGAACAGAGCGTTAACCATCTATAAAATCTGGGCTCGCAGCATTCTCCTGAATAGTAGATTGTAGCGTCTTTTGGTGAAAAAATTAAGGACATAGTCACTTAAAAGGACCTATTCGCAGGGCCAAGCAAAAGTCCTTCGTGATGATATATATATATATATATATATATATATATATTAACGTTTAGTATCAGTTGTTCAGTTTTGTCCGTGGCCATAACCTGGGGGAGAGGTAGGCGATTCTCCACAGGGACGTTTTTGATTTGGTTGTGAGGATAAATGTTTTTTGTCATTGCTATCTCTGACACACAGGACAGGTCGGACGACACATTCAGACCGCATGTTACGTTATGTGGGCCGGAACCTGTTGGCATTCATTAATCACGTTAGCCGGACCTCGTTCTTCCGTGCCTCCGTTTGTACTGTTCCCACAAAAGTAACTGTATTTACTTATGTGGCTGATGACGTCAGCTATTAAAATGCCGCAGCCTGTCTCTTTTGTGTTAGCCAGATGTATCATCACCAATCGACTGAACTTCAGTGCTTTACCAGATGTTCTCAGTAATAACCACCTTGAGTTTCCAATGTGAAGCACGAAGCTACTGCGATGGGTTCCGTGAATAAATTACCCATACAGCCAGTAGCTTATTTAGCCCCATATATTTCCCTCTTTTACCAGTACATACTCTGTATCGGCTGTGTGGGGTAAGTAAGGCGAGCGTCGAAGTTGGCGAGATTGCGTGTTGTCCATAATCTTACCCTTGACACCACGCAACCACTGACCTCAATCGTGTAAATGGCGTACAGAAGTTTGCTTGGGGTTGCTAGTGCATCCTATTTACTCGGAATAGTCTCTTCGTTTGGAACAGAAGCAGTCGGATTTTCTAAACCCATCTGGCAAATTTCCGTCCTGGGATTACTTCTGCAGGACGTATCACTTCTGCTCCGTATTTGGTACCAGAGTTCATTGTAGTAATTAACATGCAGTCACCAGCAGTGATACTCGTCTTTCCCGGCTTCACTTCATCATCATCATCAGCAGTATCATCATCATGAATGTCAGCACTCCATACTGGTGTCTTGAAGAAGAGGTTATCCTTTTTTAAAAGAAGTGGTAGGGCTAGGCGACTTATAACCTGAAATTTTTAGGCCCAAAGGAACCAATAGCAAAATTAACAAGTAATCGTAATCGAGCGTCGTCTAGAGCAGGACCGGTTTCAAGCTTTACTCAACTCCAGCTGTTAAGGAGTGTAAATAGTCACGCGACTAGGAAGTAGCTGCGATCCTCGACATTGTATTTGCTCCAGAATAAGGAAGGGGGCTTTTATGTTACCCGTGCCTTGCTTTGACCACTAGTGAGACATGCCTTAAACTATTTGAAACGCTCATCTATCAACTTGGGATACACATTTTGCTGGTTTCATATCTGCATCTGTTGTGGTCCATATAGCGGTCCATATCACACTTTCACGCATCCAGTTGTCTTATTTTATTTCATATGGATACTGGTTCTCGCTAACAATTCCGTCTACCACGCATGTGTCCATCCATGTCACACATTTCTTGATGTCGTTCGATCGGTGTATGTTGCTTTCTTATAACTAAACTTAGCTGGATTATGTAGACAGTCCACTTTTTTTGTTTTGGAGCACGGTCATTCTGTCTTTTCACTGTGACTGCATTATGATCCCACTGTTTCGATCAGCGGATTCATATGGGTGTTGTTTCAGACTTGGTCCACTATGACTGAGTCTACCATAGACCTGTTTGGACAACTGATGATCAGTTGGCCACATTTTCATTGTTATAGTCAACACTGAGCAGCAAGTGGTTCAATAAAATGTCTTCAACTTTTACACCCACTACTTTTTGTCTAAAGGTGATGAAAACGCCAGCGAGATTGTTTCACCACATCTAACCTCAATGTTGGAAGCGCCGGCATCAGTTCGAAAGGTAAGCTGCTCTGGAGGTTCAGGAATTGTTTGTTTACATTGCAGCTAGGTGTGAATTCAATTGGTATGCCGACTTTTCACACGCGTTCTTGTAATTGGAACAAATGTATGGTCTGTCTATTTTCCCAGCGGAGATTCTTTGAACTGAACACAACCCACTTCGAATGTTCATAGCTCACCTTTACTTTCCACTTACAATTGGCTTAATTGTTGCCCTGGCGTGTTGAAGAGACAGCTGCACATCGTAGTCATTAAGAGTCCATAGTAGATGGACGATCCAAAGAATCGAAAAAATGACTGGTCTATTCAGCTGTTTGTTTTCCCCTGCAGTGGGGCTGTTAGCTGTGTTAGGATCACATATATTCAACTAGAAACCATCATTCTGGTCACTGACAACAACAACAACAATGTGCCGCATCGGCGATTAGCTGCCGTACAGCATGTTAGGTAAACAAAATTCGCTTGGGAAATGTGTTGCGACCACACTAGCTTCTGCCGCTTGAGGTCGCGAACCGACCAAAGTTGCCTCCGCCTAGTAAGCGAACACCAGTCAACAGAGAACGGATTAAAATGGTCGGTGTAGCATATGAATCCATAATTTATCGAACGAACACCAACACACACACACACACACATCGAACATTCTGGATCGATTGGGTGGAATGTGTTCTGCTGACTGTCACGATAAAACGGGCTGAGTACTAACTCACTACAGGCTTTTGAGTTATGGGGTTTGCTTGGTAGTGTGTCATCATTGGTTACAATGTAACTACTGAAAATCTCAAGGTACGAGTTGCTCTTAATGTACAGTGGTTTTGGAAGTAGAACACACCAAAAGGTAGTATCTTTCGAAGCGCTGCGTGCATTAAGATCATCGGCCAAATTAACTTCGAAAATCACGTTAATCAAAAAATTGTCCCGATCATTCTTTCGTTCCTAGCTGACTGTGTACCTCGCAACTGTGGGAGCCGGATTTTTACAGGCAGTTTGATGTTTGCGGAATGTGAATACATGATAGTCTACATTACAGAGCATGCCCTTTAAGCACAAAGGTTCCACATTATTTTGTTTCGGAGCGTTTCGCATGGGTTCATGGGCTAAGCCAATAAACATGCACCGCGTCACCATCTGACTAGCCGGATTGAGTGAATATGCCTCAGTCTTCTTAGCCCATTTTACAGAGTTTCAGTCGAGGGAATTCTGGTTACTTTAGAAGTCAAACATGGTATGGTATCTCTTTTGATTCATCAGAAGGAGGGTTCTGGAATTTTCTATACTGTCCATTCCGGCTTTTTGTTTTGTGCGCTGTTCAATCAAGCAGATTGCAGTCACTTCAACGTCTAAAAATGTATCATGATCTTGGCTTTTTGGTTCGATTACGCAAATATTTGTCATATTGTTTTTTGTTGATAGTGTTTGGTCAGCGTGAATTCCTCCAGGATAGGGACTTGACGTCTCTCTACTTCACTCAGGCAGATATCAGCTGGCAGTTGGCCAGAGGGAGACCTTACGACGACACCATTTGGACGATCCGCCCTGTCTATCAGTCTTCCGATTCAGACAGACTTCCTAAGAAGCCTTCTAAATATGTTTGTCTTGTTTACGTTGGCTTTTGGAAGAGTAGCTATCTGTGGTGACTCCTGCAGCTTGTTGATAGGAAATTGTTCAACTTAGCGTTTCAACCAACAGTGACCAGTGGATAAGAGGAAGGGTGTTTTATGTTCTCCAGATAAACCGATGGATTGAAGTGCTACGAAATCAGGTTCAGACCACACCCGAATGGCATGCTACGGTTGATCTCGCTTAATTTGCTCTGGTCTGTGAGGTAGTGGTCGCTTCTAACATCGCTACCGGTTTATCTGGAGCAGGTCCGGTAGACTTTACACGTCATTGTTTTGATCTCTGTTTATCTTAAAAACGTCTGATAGAGACTGAAACGAAACGGAAAAAAGAAAAACCGGTAACTTAAACCCAGGGAAGTGGTGTGGTATACAACGTAGGGCTTCTGTGAGTCATGTGTAAAACAATCACGAAAACACGCTCATAGATACTAACAACGACTGAGGCCTCAGTATCTTCATTGGGTGCCCCAAGAATGTTTCTGATGAAATGTCGAATGATTGGTTGCTGAGTATCATATAAGCTATCCAGAAATTGGGAAGTGTTTGAGAAAGGTACCTGCGAAACAAAAGCCTCATGTAGCTGCTTGACAGATGCGCTCCTTTTGGATACTTGATACTATAGTAAAATTATACCATAACATGATCCTTACTTTCGAGTGCAACTCAGGTTGATATGAACCGGCGACTTCACTACCGGGCCCTTTAATAGATGTTTTTTCCATCTCACTTCTCTTTTACTGGATGGGGCAAACGTGCAGTTGCGATTTTCACTGAAACGCTGATGTCATGCTATCGATCATGATGATGATGATGATGATCACCGAAACTCACCTGTCTGAGATATTTTAATGATGCCTAATTGTCAAACGCGGGATTTAGTATCGGTGACGTTGCAGTAGTGATGGTTTTCGGACATCTGCAACACCTTGCCTCACTGTCCGCTGGTAAGCCATTGAAGGGTAACATCCATCAGCATGCGGTCAAGCTATAGCGTCTCCTTACCCACTTCTGTTGAAAGCCAACACCTCGGGAAGGGAGCAGTGCGATATCGTTCTGGTCGAGGACCACGGTTCTGTAGGAATCCACACGATCCCGTAAAAATCTAGAGTTAATCTAGTGTATGTGTTCTCGGGATTGTTCAAACTCAATCATTACATCGATTTATGTTGAGTGTAATGTAGGCATATTTCGGGGTTCCATTGAACTGACCTTAAGAATTTTCTCACAGCACATTATCAAAAAACGCCATCACGAATTAACTTGAAATTGGTACGGACGCACGCGTAACGCGATTATCCAGGTTCATAGGTCTCTAATTGCTCCACAGTGTGCCGTAACCTCTAATAACCACACCTCCATTTATTGTTTTATGCGGGCCAATCCAGCCCTGTTCTGGCCACTTTGGCTCCATCCATTGTTTAATTACCTAACTTGTTTCAGCGAATACTTTTGATTCCGAAGCACATTCACGCGTCTATCCCCGCTCAGTATGAACTCGCTTGGTGTATTCATCAGCACTGGGCCAGCTTGCCTCACAAATGTCACACAATTCTTTTCCCATCTCTGCTGTCTCTCTATCTGTACCTAATTTCGGATTCCAACTGGGACCGTTTGGCGATGTCGTTCTAGTTAATTGAGGTAGCTATCCTGATTGATTCTAGGGCAGGACTGTCGGTTTCAGTTTTTATCCCATCATCATCATCATCGACAGCATGACATCAGTGTTCAACACCGATGCTTCACTACCGAGGGTGTGGCTTTCCAAGTAACCTCTATTTATGTGCAATTCATTCGGTTTGATTAACTGGTGCTTTTTATTTTTCTGCTCTCCACAGGACGATTCTCGTATGTTTGGAGAAACCATTCAATCTGGTGGAGATTGGGAGTTGGAGGTCGACAATGTCAATATTGTTCGTAAACCAATATCTACGGGGTAAGGCGCTTACCTCTCAGTTGGTTGAATTCTATGGCATTTTATGGTTGGCATTATCTCAAGCGCTCCCTTGTCATTAAAGTTGGGACAAATACCAGTGACGTAAAGTGACGAACCCCAGAGAGGAACTATGGCATATCCTCGAGTTAAATTTTAATGCGGTTGCGTCGACCATTCGCTTTGTTCAGCTACATTGAACTCCCCCTCCAGATCTGAATAGATCATATCAACACAGAATCACGCTTCAGGCAATCGCTTAGAACAACGCTTCGAATATGCTTATCTGTTCTCCTACTTTGAGGGCAGAGGCAAGAGATTTGAGTGTGAACAAGATTCCTCAGCATACTGGTGTGTGATTCAGTTGTACCTAGCTGTTTTAAAGTCCACTGTAATTTCGCAGACTGAAAGGGAACCCCTTTTATGTCCTCACTTATTCCCAGTAGATGAAACGGCAGCGAAACCGTATCAGTTTTCTTGTTTCCTTCCTAGATATGGTGCCGGTCTGAGTCACTTGAAATATGGATGTTTCTTCTTCAAATGAGACTACTAAGGAGTATAAAACACTTGAAAAACCAACCCTTCCCATTCGTGACACTCGTTCGATCCCGTGATCCTGCCAGAGTAGCTAAACGTTGGAAGTGATCCGGAGATTATGTTCTTTCAAACGTAGCTTATCAGTATTACAGTAAAGAAAACTGATTTGGTAGGAATAATGAGATAAATAATCCGGCAATCAATCTGTAGACATCGAGTCTTAGCACCCGGGAGGGGGATGTGTACATCTTCCGTGTTTGAAAACTTTGTGTTACTGAACCTGTTTTGCCCCTAATTAATCCACTTCCTCAGTCCAGAACCGCCGTTTTCACTCGAAATTATTGAATTGGATACTTCGGTCATTTTTGGCCTTAACTTCTCCAAGCTCATGACGAGTTCAACTTCACCGTAATTTGCCTCTTGGACTTCCAATATATCTCTTCAACGGAAACAGTTCGATATGAGAGAAACGTATACTCTCCGAGAAAATTAAAACATGACGGCTGGGAATCTGTAATAGAGATACGTTGGTGAAGATTGCGTCCGCCAGTTCACTCAACCTTCTGGTGACTAGTCGCCATGTAACCCGAAAGGAGCATGGAGTCTGACATGCTCCCAGTATGTCCACACTTAAACAGAAGCAACCAAGGAATCAGATGTTGGATTCCTTCCAAGACTTTCAGAGTGGACCCAAGTACTTCAACCCCTGAATTATTTGTAACTCATTTAACTCGTCACCTTGTCACTCGTACAACCTTTTCGAACGTTATCAACACAGCTACCAGTGTTGCGAAATTCGTGGAGCCACTTTGTAATATTTGCTTGGATTTGACCGATGAATGAGTGCTGTCAGTGAATCTCCAGGAAAGTTCAAGAAGACTCGTTCGGGAGAAGATGGGTGTCCAGTTTTTTGTAACTAAGATGCAAATTAGAGTTTTGCTTCCCTGTTCAATGGTCTGTAACCGGTCAGTTGGTATTTCCTAATAAACAACTCCGCAGCGAAGGCAATCTTCTTTCCTAATAACAACTCCGCAGCGAAGGCAATCTTCGTTTCACCACTAGCAACGGCAATGTCGCTTAGCTGCTAAGGTGTTCTGTTCATTTTATTGGGTTCATTCATTCATTTTTGAACAGCGTTCAACTGCTTCTTACATATCTGTCCTCATGATGTGACGCGAAACCCTTCTCTTCCTTTTTCCGTCCCACAGATTTCTTGTGTCGTTCATCGTGGATGCGAGAGGCGGGATGCTTCAAGCTCAGCGTTGTTCAGACCTCCGGTTCTTGATCCCACCCAATGCTGTCAATGGGCCTATCCGTATCGTATGCCGACTTCTTCATCCGGAACGCGTTGGTTCGCCTCCACCCATCAACGACGGGGACGGTTTTGCTTGTCGGTAAGCGTTTAGTGTACCTATTTCACCAGTCGGATAACTGACAGAACCGGATGTTCGAACGGTAGAGCTGCACCGCCGGCTTTAATTCTAAGCGACCTTTGAGAATGCCTGAAATTTATTTAGCTCTCTCTCTCAGAAGACAAAAGGCGCTAGATACGTGTAGAATTCCTGGGAGTCAGTTGCACAGGTTTCCGCCAGGGTTTTTTTCAGAATGGCACCCAATGAATACTTCTGTCTCGTTTGTTCTCTCTGACCAACCTAATTTGTGCAAACAGCACCTTGTTTTTGTTCTGTTTGGCACGTGCGTTTCTGCTGGAGGTGCCATATCAACAGCTCTGTAGTAGACACAATGTGTTGGTTTGCTTATTTGTTCCACTGGCGGCATCTTGTTTATTCGTTTCATCTACGAACTGGCTGTAAACAGTATTGTGCATCGAACCAACTTCTGTACACAAGGGAAAAAACGTGGGTTAATCAAAATGCTGCCTGCAGAATTTTCGTGCTGTTTTCAACTGGGTTGACTTTTGCGACCTTCACTGGTCACGCTGGATAAACAAGAGACTCTACACGCTTAGCAGTCACTGATCCGGTTGAGATAACCATCGTCCGAACCAATCTTACCTGTTTTGAATCTCTTGTACTCTTTCTCCACATGTTATCAGTGTTTTCAGTTCAGAAAATTTCCTTCCGGAGAAGATGCACATAAGCGATTGATTTTTGCCAGTTGATTTATATTAACTGGGGCGAATACACCTACTTAGAACCTGCCACTAACTACTGCCACTCATGGGCTTCCCAAATTACGCTAGAATCCTAGACGGTGAACCTGAAACCTCCAATGTACCTGAATGCTCATAACTGCCTACATTCTCTGAAGTTCCATCGCGTTGCTGGTGTGGGCCCCTCACTTTATCGCTATGAGATGTGGCCTCTAAGGACTGCCTAATTGAGACGTCTTGAAAATTCGATAACAGTTGTTTCGAAATCGTAGCTCGTATAATGTGATGCCAACGAATCCCTAACGAAGTCCCTAACAGGGACTTCAATCGAAGAGTGTTTCCAGCACCAGAACCTTTGATGATTTGATCATTTATTGCAAATGTCGAATCATCGTTTCCTGGAAAGATTGCTGTTTTTCGAGCCTAATTCAGAGGCATAAGCAAAGGGGTCGTCAGCCTTGATCTGGCGGTGGATTATGAAGGCGATTACAAAACTACTGGACACTGTCGGTGCTACTTGCCTTCCAAGTCCGTATGATCCACCATGTGTGTGGTTGGAGACTCTACAAGATATGACTACTGGTCGATATGGGTGGCATTCTTGCTGTCAGCTCATATCCAGATTTTCTAAATTAGTGTCTGAAGGTGTAGGCACTTCGGAATGATTGTGATAAGCTAGCTTTAGGTCCCTTCCTCATCCACCTTTGCTCCTTTCTCCACGACAAGGCTTTCAAAGTAATTGTGACTGTGCGGCAACGGGGAATCTCTTGAACAGTAACGTTTTGCTGTCGATGATGATCATGACTTTTGATGAGAAATCCAAGATTTTCTTATATTCTCTTTTGCTCATCAACCTCCGACAATCATGGTGTGCATTAATGCTACTCGCATCTTTACGCTTGGTTGGAAGTTGTTACATATCTTGCGACGCACACTAGACTTCCTTACCTATAGGCGTGCTGCCCACATTACTAGTCTAAATCCACATCAGCAGTACTACGCGTAGTTTCTTTTTCATCCCCGCCAGGATGCAGGTCATCAGTTTTACACATGTGATTCAGTCAAAATTTTCTCTTCCGTCTGGTATTCTCGCAGTTCTCCCCATCCCATTCTACCTTGAGGAGGATGTGATTCTAATTGGAATATGCCACCACCCGCTTCCTCATAGATTCAAACGCCTTCATTCTTTCCAAAAGGTTACAGTGATACACTTCTTGTGATTGCAAACCGTATTTCGGATCAGAGTCTTTCCTCTTAACTACAGCATCCGGTTTTGTAGACTACTGGTCCACGCGTAACACTAACCGGAGGCAGTGGTATTATCTTTCCGTGATCGATAATTCTATGCGGCTTCCGAACGACATCATAGGGTCATAGGATGCTGAGTGATTACTTTTCGGAGGCATCCGGTTGAGAAATCAACAGACGGCCACACAGCCAAGCGAATTCAGTGTGTCTTCCCCTTTCTGTAACAAATCCTCGCGTTGACGATGGTATTTTTGCCTTGAACCATTGCCCACTTATATCAGCTGTTCACGTACTGTATGTTTTCGCGTTAAAGCCACACCCATAATTGACATGACTATCTCTCCATCGGATCAGTTGTAATTGTTTTCTGTGTACAGCGGTGAGTAGCAATAGCTATTAATTTCCGATTTTCTGCCTCGCTCAGAGGTACTCCCTTTCGTAAATAATTTGTGGACCGGTTTGCATAAGTTCACCTTGAGTATTACTAGTCTACTCTTATTAAACTTGATACCTCAAGTCTCCCATTATAAAGTTGGCAGTAGTTATCTTTTCACACATAAGTTCGGCTTCTTGATTACGATTTATTTCCCACTCACCGAGTTTATGGGTTTAGTCTATCGGTTTTGTAACAAATTGGGAACACTGACAGTGGTCTTCATGTTCCCAATGCATTATTCAGGTTTCTAAAGAGAAGTAAAGGTTTTACATTTGTTCACCCACAATTTTTTGTAAGAGAGTGCTCTCTGGGGATGAGTCACTTTTCACCGTTATCGTTCCCTTGAAATGTTTTTGAAGCAATGTTGTTAACCTGTATATTCACTGCTTGTGTACCATACATGTACTTGATCAAGACCGTACAATCTATACTATCGTGGAATTAGGTGGGTCTCTATCGTACATAGTGGTGTCGTCCGCAAATTTAAGCCTGTAAACCACAGAGTCATAGAAACCATACTTGTTTTCGAGTCACAAAGCGTGCACAGTACTCTCATTTCTCGTAATGGAAAATTCCATGACTTCATTGCCTCGCCGGTGTCATCGAATTACTTGCATATCAACGGAACATATTATCAACATCTGAAGCCTCGGGATACGGGGCGACTAAATCCAGCACTTACAGTGTAAGCATATAAATAGTGACGGTTTTAACTCTCCTTTTACTTCTGGCGGTATCACCACAGATTCCATCTAGTTGGTTGACGAGACCCTGCCCTATAAAAGTGCTCCACTTACTCCCAGCATTCTTTCTTGCCGGTCACAGGCTTGCTTCAACCTGCTGTCTTACTGGTGACGACCGCGTCACTGTATATTGGAATAGAGTTACAATCAGTTTTCAAAGTGTACCGAGTCTACGTTGATTCCAGCTTTTACAGTTTCGGACGGTTGAAGTGAGATGGTAGGGTAGATATAGCCAGGGAGTCGAGGTGATGGCACAAATAGTTTGTTTTTTGAATTGGCCTAGTTGGTTGAAGAAACATGGAACTGACCAACACTAATGCGCGTTGCCTTTCCGGAAGTTCAGTTTATTTAAGGCTTTTGTCGCCTAAACAACAGTGTCAGGTGCCATGTGGCACCAGTGACGTAAACAATGATTTGCATGAAGAGTTGACGGGTGAATGATCTACTTAACGGGTAAATCCAGTGGTTATGCAGGAACACCTTTTGAGACGTTTTTGTAAGTGCTTGTGACTCGGATCCTCTGGTTCTGTTTTGCAATTGTGTTATTGTACTGTCTGTCACAAGGGTCAAACGAACACAGCACATAAGGGCCCACATAATGAATGCGCATGACTCGGCGAATGACGGTCACCAAAAACCAGGATTAGTCAGAAAGGGATACTGGACGGACGAAAAATACGTGCTTGATATGACAATGCAACCGTTTTCTGAACGGGCTTGACACCTTTACAGCGTAAATAATGAGTTTGAATAGCCGATACATTCACTATCGGAAGCCAGTTTCACTAGCACTCAGATCAACAATTGTAGGCTTGTGACAACTTCTGATGTTAAAGAATCATTGAAGAATCAAGGTAACGTTACGTGACTTCGTTTCCGGAAAATTTTAATCTCCGTTTACAATCTTGACTTACGTTGTAACGAGGACACAATGGGCCCGAATGGATGAATGTGTGTTGGGATAACTTTTGTATTGTTTGGCAGGTTTCCTTCTTTTGATAAGAATTGGTGGGAATTTCGTAGCTCACTTGTGAAAGTTTACGCTGCAGATTATACTGAACTTCGATCGTAAGCGAATCACGAAGAAAAGATACTCCCTCATGAGAAGGGATTAATTAACGCCAACTCGCGAGGTATCTTCTCCTGGAAGTCGATTATGTTGGTTTTCTTTTTGCTCACTGACACCCCACGGAGCATAGCGGTCGATATCAGTTTTGTTTCTATCTCACTGAAATAATCAACATTCTTGTCGTTACTCAGATGAGCGCAGTCGATCACGTATGTTTACAATTAGACGCGTGAACGAACAAGCTTTCTGAATTTCCTCATTCCTTTGTGTAGACTAGTAGGATTCAATTTGGATAAAATGTTGAATCAGTAGGTCCTACTGTCCGCATTCGCTGTGTGGGTCCTGGGGTACAACCTGTTGAACAGTGTCATCATATCATTGTTTGACTTTGTTCGTTCTGTATAAAAATGGTGGTAAGTAGATTAGCCGCATTTTGTGAAGCAAGACTGATTATTGGCTCAGAGATAAAGATATACATACCACCGACTAACCACCATTTACCTTGTTTTATTATGCGTCCAGTTTTCTGCTAGCATCTGTTCGATTTTCCACGAACCAATTTTTCTGTCCTCTGTATTCCAATGTCACCTTCATGTAAAATTCTCCGGTCGCCTTGGTTGGATAAATTGCTGATCAACAGTCTAGGTACTCTAGCGCAAATTCTTGGTCGCCCGGATCCTAAACCTTATTGCCGTCCGAGGTAGTTCCCATCTGTTCCCGTATAACGGCTCATTCACGCGTTCTCCTGTCCTCCATCCAACCTTGTTCACCTCATTGGTATTTCTCACCGTTAACTCTAGTGTGCTTGAGATGGGACCGGTTGGTGTCCGCTTTTCCGCTCCGATCGTTCTGGAGATTCCGCACTATGCATTCCTCACTGAGAAAAACCGTGAAGTCATTGTGTTGCGTTCAGATAATGGTGAGACTTGGAAAGAGCATCCTCTAGACGCCAACGATCAAGCAGTTCAGGATACTGTGAACGGTTATTTCGGTGAGTCTTGATGAAGCTCTCTTTCGTTGATTGCTTGATAGGCGTCTATCCGTGATCTGGATTACAGCAACAACTTTGGTTTGCAGCTTTCAGTTCGAACGTGATTACTAGGCTCGATAACTTGTCACCATGTCACGGTGGAGGATGGAAAAAGAATGTTTATTATAATCAGTTGTGTTGTTGATTTATATGTATATTTTTGGTGTATTATCATAATTTTGGAAAACGTCAATAAAATGAGAAGTTTGGAAGGTTCTCATTGCATCATTTGAAACAACACATCGATTGAAGGATACTCTCTCTGTATCTCCACCGTACTCGGGCTTTTATTCAAGGCTATAGAACCAATAATATGCAAGACAATTCAGCGATCAAAGGTAAAATCGTGTTCCGCTAAAAACAAACGGAGTACAGAGTCGCGTGATCCTGTCGCCTAACCAACTGGTCACATGAGCCAGTACAGATCACTTTTGAGTAAAAAAATTCAGCCTGTTTACTTTTTATGCTAGTGATTTCTGCACTAACCAAAGTCTTCGTTCTGCTAGACTGTGACAAACTGGAACTTTGTAGATAGATTTAAAAACCTCCACAGCATCCACCTGAGTTGTCCAGTAAATTGAACAAACACCACTAGGGACGGTGTCCTTTTTGAAATCTGGATGGAGGACATTCAAACCTTCGTTTGGACGTTGGTATCTTCCTTCTACCATCATAAATAGGAAGTGGTCTACCTCAGACCAGTGCTTCAAAGCAAGCAGCCTGTTTTTCTCGTACTTTTGCAGACAAATTAGCAAGTACTATATTTGGTTCTTCATGGTAGTACTTAGGGGTTGATCACATTCCCTAAATTGCTGCAGCAATGTGTTAGATATTCTGTACATTAAGGTTATGCATTCTTTCATGCATAGACTATGTGGATTCGGCTGATGAACTACGCAAACGCAGTGTACATCGCATACTCACCTACGATTTGCCCCAGTATTTCGCACTGATCACGCGTGTGAGACAAGAATTGATATTGATCGGACCTGAAGGTGGCACTCTGACGTCAAATGTCATTTCCGAAGTGCAGGTAGTCTTCCCCCCTGGGGCGCTTCAAAAGAAGATCCGGGTTGGTCTTCAAGTTCATTGCATCGACCAGGAGCTGGTATCCCGTCTTCTTGGAGCACGCGTCCTTGTCTCACCTATCGTCACTATTGAGCCACGTCGGCGCAAGTTCCATAAACCGATCACACTAAAAATGCCTTTGCCAAAGAGCAGCACGGCTACTGGTGCCGGTGGCCTGGCTGCACATTCCTCGGTAGACTCTCCAAGCCTACGCTTACTTTGTTCAATCAGTGGTGGAACCTCTCCCACAGTTTGGGAAGATATCACAGGCAGCTCTCCCCTATCCGCTTCTAAGAACACGGTCTCATTCACAACCACGGTTTCAGCCCGGTAAGTATGTTCGCAATGAGGTCTGTTTAATTTCGCGTCGGTGTTTTCGGTTTGGTCTGTGAAAACCAACATGACCAATACATTTCAGTCAATTAAAGGGCGACTGACTCGCAGGTTAAATCTGCTTTGATGTCCCAACCTTTCTGTGACTTTAGTTTTACCTGGTTGTCTCGTTTGTATAGATGGCCCTTGCGCAGCTATCTGTCAAGAAGTCAATCTGTCCTAGAAACAAGTACACGAATAAATAGTTGAAAATATGCTTGCTCTATTTCACTCGTTTTCTTAATCGAACTTCAGTTTATGGCTAGTGGACTGCCCGAATACGACCGAAGTAGTCGAATTGGCCAGCCGAGTGTATCACGAATCACTCTCGGTTCCGTATATTGGCCGCTTCATTGTCTACGGACGGCGGCATCATCCAGAAGAAGCACAAATTCGCTGCCTCTGTCTGACAGATGATCCGATTGCAAAAACTTTGGAGCAGCAGGAAGGGTTCCATCTTCTTGCCACTGGACCTCAAGTTGAGGTGAGCATTAGATTTTATCGTAGCACTTTCTGCTGCACTTTTCATAGGTTAGTGGGAATTTTCATCGGACATCACTGCTTCGCTAAGTTTCACATGGACTCGTTAAGATTGTAAACCTTTGACCGTTCTTCCCATGGGATCGTAGAGAAGTCCACTTTACCTTTGCTCCCTCTACATTCAATACGCCAACTTTATCGTTTGGAACACTCAGTAAATCGTAATTTCTGCATGTGGAGGACATTAAATGAGATTCTTTCGACAGCTCATATAAAAATAATAAATAAATAAGTAAATAAATAACTTAACTAATTCCGCCCCATAGTTTGGTGCGCACTTCTCACTTCCAGGGCGTAAAGTGTTCCTCGAACGGCAAAATGAGCCATCTACCACCTAATGGTGTAGCTCTCCCGGAGTTTGATGACTGGCTAACTCAGAGCTTATTTTCTCTCTCACTTTGTTTTTCGTTACTCTACGTAACATTTTTAAAGGGAGCTTGGTGGTGAATCAGCTTCGTTCCACAATGATTTGGGACATTGATTTGGCCCCTGATGGTGCATGTTCGCGAATAACGTGATGAAAGTCAATCGTATCATTTATGTGAAACTTTAGGAGGTTGTCCTTACTATGAAAATGTTTCCTTACCGATAGCTGACTTCCCAGGGAACTTGTTTCCTGTATTGAGAAGTTACATTAATTTTGTTTGTTGTTGACGATGCATGTAGCCATTGTCTATATCTGAACGCTCCTGTACTACATGTCACATACCTGATTACAGGGTAGCCTGCTCCTGAGTTAGTCAGCATCCAAAGAATTCTATTGTCTCCGATATTTTCTACCGTTCTACTTGTAGGTCTTGGATGATCATCCACATTGGATTGAAACTGCAGGTAATTTGGTCCCTGTTGCGAAGAGTGAAGAACAGCTGCAGCTAAATGTCCGCGCTTTCCATGAGAACCGGTTAAATATGCTTGTGCGTGTGAAAGACCTGACTCAGCCTGCAGTGGGAAAGCTAGCGTTTACCCTGCATCCGCGCGCCGTTTTACAAAGTTTGGGGTGAGTTTGTCAGCTTTTGTGATACTGGGCACCTATGCAACGATTTTGCCTAGAGCAGTGCATATTTTCATTGTTCACAATCACCGGTACGGTGTTTCACCCTCGTTAACGGTTACGAGTGTGTGCACGATTCAACTTTTTCCACGACCATTGTTTCGACTTTTAGCCGGTATTTGGCACTGTTTGTAGCCAACCTCTATTGTGCACTCGGTGGTGGTCACCGCACCAGTCATTGATCATGCACTGTCCGCAAGATAATCATTGACTGATTCGGTGTTTGACGCCGTTCCACTTCTCAGACTACACACTCATGAAGCCACCTCTCTGTGCCTATTCTTTGTCGTTCAGCTCATCAGTAGGATATGTAGATGTGGCGAGTAACACCATGCGCGTACGTGTCTGTAACAGGCGCTTTGTTTCGTGTTCGAGAACAGATGAGCGTTACCAGCTAACGGTGCTAACTTACCGCATAAAAACTCTGTGCCACCTGACGATTAACGATAGTTTCCTATGTGGTGTTCGTCTTCCGCTCTGTGTTTGGTTGCTTACCCCTCGGCGTGCATCCTAATCTAAGTGTCATTACCGCTGCCAGTTATGGTTTCCTGTGCTTCTCACACAAACCAGTCACACTTGGCCATTGTTGATCTATCGACTTGAAACCTGTCTGCCGCCCTCATTGTGGTGCCGTGACTCAGCATCGTATGTGGTAGGCATGCATCGCACCGACAGACTATCTACCCTTATTCTCGCCGAACTGCGCTTCTAGGTTCTGAGGTCACTTTGTTTCGGCGTCTGGCCAGTAGGTGGTCCATCAACCTTTCCAGCAGATGCGAGACTAACCGTACGCGGTGAACCGAGGAAAGTGAAGTGAACAAGAAATCATCCAAGGTTTCCTGTTCTGTCATCACTTTGTTTGTTGTTAGATAGTTCCTCGCCTCTTCATTGTTTATTGTTACCATTTGTGTCAGTTTCAAGATTTCCAATTGTGAGTTTCGTTACTCAATCTTTTGTGAGAATAAACTTATGGGAAGCGGAACCTTTGCATATCCAAATGTAGTCAGTTATTGTGACTTCATTCTCAGTTGGTTGGGGTCATACTGTGCGCAGAAAGAATCTCTTTACTCTATGGGAATTCTTATGCGCAGTCACTGTCACTTCGAATCCCACCTTCCATTCACAGAGCTGCTAGCTACACTCCTTTGCATTCTCGATTTCCTCGGTATTTTGCAGCATTCCCCAGAAAAGAATCACAGTTTTGGAGGCCCACGTCCCCAATGGCCTATCAAGTTCGATCAGTGGAGCTGTACTAAAGACTACTGACATCGATGAGGTGACGGAACTTTCAATGAGTCAACATCCAGATGGTCTAGTAAACGGATTTGGAGTCCCGTCTCACAAAGGTGAATTTCGCACTGTTTTCGGTCTGTAGAGAACGCGGATTTATTTACAGACTTACTGAGCAAATTTCTCGGTTTATGCTGTCAGTGTCCAGCCACTTCATTCAGCAGGGCATTTATCTCTCCTACTCTGAACCCCATTCACCTATGTCCTGAATCCACACATCAGACCTTTCTAATTCCGGGAGAATTATATGTTTTGTGTTTATTTGTTTAATAGGTCTAATTTCACCTAATCGGCATCCCATCTTCATCTACAATTGAGTTGTTTGCCATCGTTCGAATGGTCTTTTTGGAAGTTCCTTGTGTCTATTGCAATGCAATGACGATGAGCAGCACATCAAGTTGCCATTTTCAGGGACAACTAAGAAGAAGTGCTCATGGTCGTGCGCGCCTCAATTGTGGTATAATCGCTTGCGAGAGAACGTTGCCGTGGTGTACGAGTTTCCTTCTTGAAATAAGTGTTCCTTCGTTTTAATCTTGAACGTATTTATTGTATGGTCGACCTATATCATGCGTTCACAGCGAGTGCTATTGTCCAAGAAAATAATCGGGACAGTTATTCGCTATGTTATCCGTTTTAAAAAAAATAATCATCTCGATGTAACGGTTTAGAGTTCGAAGAGGACCATCCATTCTGATACTACGATTTCCCCGGTCTTTTTGTGCTGTGAAAGAAACCTGAGACAGGTAGGTATGTTCGTGGCCGTGATTCTTCCACTTGAACAGCTTCGGTTATTGATAGACTGAACGACTTCCGACTTCTGAATGACTCCTTAGTGCCCAGGGAACGAACACACCGGCCGTGTCTGGATACCGTCATTATACTGTCATTATACGTGAGTAAGAGGCTTTAAGTTTGGGATTTTTAGAAACAAAGCATTGAGCTTACTTTAACCAATAATCTCCTGAAATACCTTAGGGGTTTCAGGAATTCCCCGTTGCTTTGTTTATTGAGGTGATTCTTGACCGACTTCAACATTGCTTATCACCCCTGAAAATATATAAAAAGCTACCATGAAGAATGCCCCAGAAAATAGGTTTCTGTACACCGTCTGCTTTACCTTATGTTCGGTGTAATGTATAGATAGAAAAATTCTGGACCCTGATTTACCCCTTGGGTTCCACTTTTAGTTGAACGCATTGTCATCGTCATCATCATTATCGACAGCATGACATCAGTGTTCAACACCGATGCTTCACTGTAGATTAATTCGATCGTCAACTGAAACTCCCATTCACACTGGTTAGTGTGCAGCTGAATAACTTTTTGAGCATCCAGTGTCCAAATAACCGACATGCAGTTTACTGAATCTCAATAATGAATGCCTTTCATGGATTGATTCAATGTCCGAAGCTATGCGTAGTACACACAGCCGCATAGCAGATGCTGTGGTCTCTGAATCCCCGTTCCACATGATCTTAGGTACTTGGTGAGGAGTGAACTTTTCATGTACATGAGCCAAACTACCAGGCCGCATTCAGCTTAAAAGTCTACTTGATCAATGGTCTGAAATGAGACAACCCCTTAGAACCCCACTCATTTCATTTATCGGCGTGTGACTTTACTTTCCCTTGATCGATGCGGAGGCTACATTCGGCTCCTACACGTATTCAGGTGACGCCCTGGTGTGGACGGTACAGAAGCAGGGCGATGATCTCATGCTCTGATCATTGAGGAAAATGCCACGTCACATTCTTCATACCCGTTCTCTAATTCATCATTTTGCATGCTAAACTGATCCCCCTTGGATTTACTTGGTTACTGGTACAAGCCGAGAAACTATAATCGTTGGGGAGTTTATTTATTCGATTCCATTCTTAGGGTTAGTGTGCAGGAACCAGCACGTGTATGCTTCCTGCTACTTATGGTACTCTCTGATTGCAATCAATGGATACGATTGTTTGGAAGAGTAACAAAAAAAGTTCCATATCTGGGGGGCGAATACTCCTTATAAGGCATTCCTTGTTATTCAGTGGTGCATTGGAGTGACTTGTTCCTGAATAGCACCAATGATAGCCAACAAAATTTGGAGAACCCCTTGTACTACACCAACTTATGCCGACGCCAAGTCAGGACTCTAACGCTAGCAAAAACATCGAGTAACCCTTAGTACCATGGACTCATCGCTTTCAATCGCGTTTCGGTTCTACTTGTCGGTGCTTGTTTAGTATTCTCCGTCTACCTAAAGCACCTGTGCAAGACTACATACCAATCGTGAACCTTTTCAACTCCCCCCAAAGCCAGTATTCCGAATTTCTTGTATTCATTATTGCAATATTTAACCATAGCCTCCCAAGTTCTTGTGTACGTGATATCCAGACCAAGCCAATAAACTCTTCGTATGCCTGCTTGTGTCTATTCATGCTCATCATCAGTTCGCTACCAATCTAGGTTGTTCCAGTGAACGACTGACGGTCACGAGATAGTATCACTGATTCAGTCCTGTCAGCTAGTATCTTGTCGGTTACGGGGTCGACAACCTTTGTTGAGCGGATTTCCTCACCGAACTGAAGTTGATCCTGAGGACTGTCTCTGAATGTTTCGTTTGTAGTGGGTTCGTTTACATACAGATGAAAGCCGATACAAAGTAAGTTAGTCTAAGCCGTAACTGTATGGTTTTAGCAAACATGTTGTCCATGCTTGGTTGATTTTTACACTCACTTGGGATGATCAAGACTGCATACTACCCATTCAACAACAACCCGAAGCCACCCCGCATTCCACTTTTTTACAGGTGACTTCTCAGAGGTTATTGGTCGGTTGGAACTGGATCTGAGTAACGTGGCCAACAGCGTCGGCTCCGACTGGCCTAGACTGGCCACTGTGTTAGGACTCTCAGCCGAAGAACAGAAAATGATCAGTTCTTCCTATAGGACTGATTCCGAATGTGCTTATGCGGCGTTAATTATTTGGCAAGATCGTGCAGGCATCGAGTCCACCAGCGGTAAATTTCCTGCTTTTGTTTACACGTGGGTTTACGGGCCAAAACCATTCTTGAAACAAGGTTTCTCACCCTGATTAGTACACTTCCGGATCACTAGCTTGTGTGTGTGCGTGTGAAGTATTTTCTGTCGTAACGTGTTCTTTTACACATTAACTCTCGAACAGCTTTGTAATGAGTGCCCACCTATCACCATTTGGTCTTTCGCAGCGAAAGCGGAATGAATTATTCAACAACTGCAGGAGGCTTCTGTGTCCAGGTTCATTCTTGTGTGTCTATGCATGTGTTTGTGTGTGCGGAGATGGGGTTAGGCCTCACACACCACAGCTTATTGACTTTTCCTTCCCTGAGCCGACCAGGTGAACAGTTTCGGGTCGATATCGACTCGTTTCGACTTAATCGATTTTCGAGGCCAGTTCTTATTTGGCGCACATGATGCGGACTCAATGTGTGCTTAACTTTCTGCATAGCGTTTTCGGCTGGAACCACTCATCCCGGTTTACTCACGTGATGATTTGTTAGCATGAAAATACTATCAATCATCTAACTCTGTTATTCAAAGGTGTACCACTGTGTGCAACTTACGCTTTTTTCGAGGAATGCAATTGGAATAAGTGATCACCGGGTTGACGCTACGCCACCATAAGCATAGGTCTTCTTGTGTGGGGTCGACCTCTTTGTATACATAGCTGAGTTTTTCATCTAAGCTAGAGAGAACGTGATTTGCAATCTGTGATGTATCCTGCTGTGATGCACGCTCATGCATGGTTCCTCAAGTGAATAGAACAAAGAGAACTCAATTTTTCATCACATCACCGAGTCTGAGCCATTTTCTCGTGCCAAGATGTCCCGCAGGTTACAGCATACGGCAGGCCATCCGAAGGCTTTCGGGTCCTAATAACCCGATATCGTAGTTTATTTCGGAATAGTTCGACGCGGAACAGTGAACAACAACAACATGCGAATTCCGATGCAAGTACTTTCAGTTCCGGGGCGTGAGTAACATTCACGAAATTGCATCACAACTAACTTCGCTCAAGCTGTAGGACCGTTTGTTCAAACCAACTGTGGGAGGGGTCGTACTTTGTTGTTATGAATGTTGATCCTTCTGACCCGAAGACCTCAAACAGATTGAAGCGTTCGAGAGTCAGTTGATTTTCAATACAGCCGGCGTTAGCTGGCTATAGCGTTCTCGTAATGGTACGTAAGCGAGACCTGGTGGTCAATCAGAATCAGTAGAACCCTAAGTGGAACTTATCGCCCAACTATCATCTCCTAAAGAAAACACTGTTTTCCACGCAGAACTCTTGTTGGTGGAAGGCCCTCGGAGAACCGGTGACGACTTAGATACACGAACTGAACAGGGATGTAGGATTTTCGTAGCTTCCTGTTTGGCTTTCACGTGAGTATTGCATGTGGTTAGAATCCCCACAAGAAATGGCACTTAACGAGCTCCAAGGTGCCTTTCGACCATGCTGTCAATGTTTAGTGTGCTCACCTAGCTAAGCTTTGTCTGTCATTGTATGGTGGGCTTGTGTTTGGTGAGGTTAGCAAATTCATCTCGGTTGGTGAACTTCAGCGATATGATGCTTAGATGTGTTTATCATATTTTAAAGATGTGGATACCCTGTTCGTGATAGTTTTCTTCATGAGCGTAAGCGTGTTTTCCATAAGTACTCGCTCATTCCTTTCGTTCCAGTCTTTACTAGGGCATCATTCCTTATCGCTATGTAGCACTTACCCCCTTTCACACATTTATTAACGGTGCATTGCTGTCAAAGATGAACACAATGGTTACAATTCACATCTCGTAATACGTACTGGAAATAATTTTTACGACGCCATTCACTTTGCACCACATGGTAGCTGATACCTTCCGCGCTAGTTAGATAAGGTTGTTACTGTCTATTCTACACAACTAAATATACAAATCATTAAAACGTCCCTGTCCCTTCTAAGAGCTGAACACTTTTCAGCACAAGGGTTTAAAAAAGTCCTAACGTTTTTGTCATTAAAGCTATTCTGGATGTCATGTGTTTCTCAAGTGATTGCTTAAACCACATACGATTTGGGGGTTGCAGTCAGCCTCAGTGCGCTTTAGTGAACTGTTTTATAATGAACATCCCTTTCGTTGCTCTTCGGTCAGTTAGGACGAATGTCACTCGAACAGATAAGAAATATCTATCTATTGTATCGATGCGTTGAGCACCAACGAGTCCGCGAACAGACCAACAGCTAGTAAATCCACCTGATCTACCAATATTCAACGACGCTGCGCAAATGAGGAGACGGATTCGAGTTCCAACGCATCTCCCAGGGAGCATGAAGCCTTTTTGATGTGACCTGATTTGACTAGGACACCATACACTAGCCATTATGTTTTTCATATGGCGATTGCGATTGGATAAGCTAAACCAGCGCTTGTCCGATGTAACCGTCTACTGATATGCGCGATGATGAGGGTTGTCTATGGCACAGGACCAAATGTTACTACTCGTCGCTGTGATTAGCGTTTGTAAAAGATCATCCCCGATCGTAGGTACTAGGCGCCATTCCCACAGGTTGACGCTATGTAAAAGGACTGATGGTCATCATCTCGATGCCATCTGCTGTGCGAACCTCAACTCTGCGTTATAAACTGCTACTAGTGAATGTTCTTCTTGCCCTGTGGATCTCCTGTGTGGCTCTCAACAGCCTTAAAACTTTCAGTTTGCTTTCTGTGTTATCCCCCCATTTACCCCTGCTACCTGATTGTTCATATACATTGCGTTTGTTTTTACATTCAGTTAGGGTACGTAGTTCAGGCGAATATACTTTGCCATGTTCCATATATCCACACATTGCGGGTTCTCTTGATGTTTTCGGTTCGCATTTTCAAACCCAATGTTGTGTTTTTTTTTTCAGGAAATAAACTAGCCCAATTTCTACATCAGATCGGTCGTTCAGATGTCGTTCAGGCTTGTATGAGCAACGTCTCCCCGGTTACCTCACCAGACGAACGACGCATTGCATTGCGTGTACTGGACTCTACTGGTGAGTTTCGAAGATTTTTTTAAGTGAGTCATTGGAAAGGGTAAGGTCCCCGTGTGCCTGATTTCGTGTTTCAACTTATCATTTTGGCAAAAACTGCAACCAACCATATGATCCATTTTTACCGGACGTTTTCCTTGGCAAGTTGCGGTTCAATTACGTAATTAGGTAGCCAGACAAGTACGGATGCCGGTCGTTGAAAAAGGAATGTCTGCTCGAATTTTCCGACCTGTCTTCAGTTCGATTTTTGGTTTACGGATAGACTATATATCACACCAATCGCTCATGTCATCAGTTGCCTATTGCTTGTGTTTTCGTTTTCTCGAGGCAGGTCTGTCAGTCTTGTCGCGTTCATTTGAGATTAATCAATTCATTCGCGCTGGATGAACTGATCTAAATCGTCATCAAACAACCAATTTCCCCTACTCGGTCCATCGCCCCATGTCTCAAGTGAATCCTGGCACTCCGAATTCAAGAAATAAGTTGACATTGATGCAAAGAACATAGTTCTCTGCCTTCTCCCAGGCTACAGGGACCGGGCACATTAGTCATGAAGAGCTAGCGGTTCTGTACCAGCGTTACCTACACCGATACTCTTATCTTCTAGCCATCGCTATCAAACGGGTATGTATTGCTATTCTTTTCGGATCAACAACCATCGTCCCATTGGTTCTAGATAAACTTTCCACCATACTCTTGTCTATCAGTGTGTGGCCATTCTGAAATTTATTATCTGATTGACAGAAAAAACTGAGGCGACTGGTACAACTATGCTGCTCCTGTACCCTTCATGGGTGATGCACAAGCTCATTGCAATTCTCGCTTTGCGTTCAAACGATGACATCCCTTCTCTTCCTAGTGGTTAATTTAACGGAATTCTTGCGATTGTTTTCACATCCGAAATCTGTGCTTTTGCGCTGTCGACTTTTTTTTATAGCCAAACACGGTTCTATGGAAGCTTGCACACCAACCCGTCGTACAATTATGAGATTTTTCGGATGGTCCCATTGGTGCAGACCGATAGCTACTGAAGTTTTCGAGCTCTGATGCTTTCCGTCGATTGTAATAAAAAACTTGCTTTTTGTTGCCGGCTCTTTACAACTGATGAAAAATCTCAACCGTATTCATAAAAGTGTATGACATCTCTTGTTCAGTCCGATACTCTGGCTACAGCAGAGGACAGGCGAATATTTCTTTTGAGGCTTGGCCAGCTCTAAAAACGCCGAAACGTAAAACATGGTATCTTGTTGTAGGTCTGCTTATCCTATCCGTCCTCATATACATGAGATACTTCCTTCAAAAGGTTTTCCCTTAAAAAAACTTTGTTTTAGTTTACATGAAGAGCACAAAGCCCGTGTGCAAAATTAGACCTTGATAATCCCAATGTACCTCAGCCCGCGAATACTCGGTAATTCACACTTCACTCTGACTTTTTCAGACAAATTAGTGAATGTGTCCTCTTATCACATGTTGGATTTAACTCTTCGCTTCATGTGCTTCCAGAACCAAGCAGTGTGGCCCCAGCTGTTTCAGGTCCATTCAGTGAAACCAGTGGTCTTGGCACTTCGCTTGACGGCGTGTCATCTCATATCGTGGGTTATGATGTTACTCGCCCCTATATTTCGGGTCAAGGCGAAACCGGAGCAGATAACAACGAAATGGAGGTGATAACACCTGTTTACGTAGAACGCCGGAGGCCCGAAGTCGCGTCGACCACTGTCCCATCCAGACCCGTCCTCGGTTCCGCTCAGCATGCTGATGCTCTGCAGGAAGTTCGAGAAGTTTTTGTTGAACATGAGGTGCCCAGTACTCCCACGCTGTCATCAACCGTGGAACAACGTAGGTCGTCAAGATTGCCTCATATTTTTTCCGCCCGGTTTAGATTTCTCCCGTATTTTGTTGTCTTTAAGAACCCCATTTCGGCGATGGGATGTTTTGATTCAGACGTGGAGGTATATGCATCAAAATGCATCTACAACTTACCATGACGAGCCTATTTATATTCTGATCAAAAAGTGATTTAACTTCGAATGAGGCCGACGATTCGTGTTTGTGCCAAATGGTAAAATGTGCGCGATGGTGGGAGTCCTAGTATTGGAAACAGAGCGATTGGCGTAACTGCACATGTTTATAAAATTTCGTGTGCGTTACTGACCCTAATTTCTGTCAAACGAGCGAATTCCACCAACTTCATTTATGTTGGCGAATTCACGTGTTGATTCACAGGCTGTGAATCTTGTCACAACCTGTCCTTAAAACTCCATACCCTCTGCGCGCCCCATATGCAGTTCTGCTCGCTCGCGACAAGAACCCAAAACCAGTCACTTATTAGGTGCTACTGCTTGAACCAGAGGACCGCAGCCTGCGTGGTCTTCAACCACCGGTTAGTCGACTATACCGTTTCTACTAGAATTGACAGCACTTACAAACCCTCAGGGCTTCTGGGAAATTCAGAACCGAATTAGTGAAAACCAGTGCAAAGTCCCGCCCATTTGCAAGTCAAAACCCAAAATATGTTGACATCAATCACATCCAGGTACTCGCTGGCGAATACCTTTTGAACACGTGGTTCGTTAGTTACCTCATCCTACCACTTGATGGATGAACAACGAACACTCTTCGGCTCAACTCTGTCCTGATGGAATCGAGTGTTCATAACGTTTGCCCTCATTTGCTATTAGTGGGATTTACCTAGTATCACAGGTGCATATACACACCGCTTTTTTTATAATTTCTAAACCTTATTGTTGTGGTCGTTTCCCAGTCAGAAGGATATGCGGCATTGACTGACATCGAAGAGTTCTGTTTTCTATGTAAACCACAGGTGGAGCTCTAACCATACTAGATTCAAACGTTCTTATACAGACAATATATATATATATATATATATCCATGGAAGCCTTTATGTGTTTGTTCTGTATGTGCACGCCACCTACCTATTTTCTACTTCGCTAGTGATACCAGATACATTGATGGAATCCATGTAGAACTACTACTTGCAGTCAAGATAGCCTTTGTGTGTGTTTTGATCAACGTTGTTATATTGCTTCTTCAGGATGCATCTATACCGTTTTGCGCTTTCTCTTGGTCGACGAGGTTACGAGCCTATTTATATTCTGATCAAAAAGTGATTTAACTTCGAATGAGGCCGACGATTCGTGTTTGTGCCAAATGGTAAAATGTGCGCGATGGTGGGAGACCTAGTATTGGAAACAGAGCGATTGGCGTAACTCCACATGTTTATAAAATTTCGTGTGCGTTACTGACCCTAATTTCTGTCAAACGAGCGAATTCCACCAACTTCATTTATGTTGGCGAATTCACGTGTTGATTCACAGGCTGTGAATCTTGTCACAACCTGTCCTTAAAACTCCATACCCTCTGCGCGCCCCATATGCAGTTCTGCTCGCTCGCGACAAGAACCCAAAACCAGTCACTTATTAGGTGCTACTGCTTGAACCAGAGGACCGCAGCCTGCGTGGTCTTCAACCACCGGTTAGTCGACTATACCGTTTCTACTAGAATTGACAGCACTTACAAACCCTCAGGGCTTCTGGGAAATTCAGAACCGAATTAGTGAAAACCAGTGCAAAGTCCCGCCCATTTGCAAGTCAAAACCCAAAATATGTTGACATCAATCACATCCAGGTACTCGCTGGCGAATACCTTTTGAACACGTGGTTCGTTAGTTACCTCATCCTACCACTTGATGGATGAACAACGAACACTCTTCGGCTCAACTCTGTCCTGATGGAATCGAGTGTTCATAACGTTTGCCCTCATTTGCTATTAGTGGGATTTACCTAGTATCACAGGTGCATATACACACCGCTTTTTTTATAATTTCTAAACCTTATTGTTGTGGTCGTTTCCCAGTCAGAAGGATATGCGGCATTGACTGACATCGAAGAGTTCTGTTTTCTATGTAAACCACAGGTGGAGCTCTAACCATACTAGATTCAAACGTTCTTATACAGACAATATATATATATATATATATATCCATGGAAGCCTTTATGTGTTTGTTCTGTATGTGCACGCCACCTACCTATTTTCTACTTCGCTAGTGATACCAGATACATTGATGGAATCCATGTAGAACTACTACTTGCAGTCAAGATAGCCTTTGTGTGTGTTTTGATCAACGTTGTTATATTGCTTCTTCAGGATGCATCTATACCGTTTTGCGCTTTCTCTTGGTCGACGAGGTTTTGGATTGCGGTTCTTTTTCACGGCGAATGCATACCGCTGATCCGGTTGCTCTACTGATCTCGGACAACTTTTCAGTCTTTTTATCTTGCAATGCGTGGGGAGTGACTTTTACATCCTGGAGCACTGAGTTTTCGCCCCATTTCATTCCTGACAGATGAGGTCTGGTTGTCAGAAAGAGACTGGACCCTAGCTTGACCCACCGAGCTATAAATCGTTAAGCTGTAGCACCCTTCCTGTGCCCAACTGCCGTGCCACATGAAGGAGGCACGAGGGCTGGGATACTGCCAGGTGTCCCAAGCCTAGACAGGGGAAGTCGAGAGGCAGAGGTCGATTTCGAACCACGGACCTTCCGATCAGTTAATTGGCGCTCTAACCACCTGGTCCATCTTGCCACCGAGCTATAGCGGAGATTTTACGTGCGACACCCGCGGAGTCTCTCGTAACAGGTTGTTCAATGGTTAGTGGTCCAACTGACACAATCTCCGGTCCACGGGTTGCGGGTTCGAACGTGCATGGTGATCTGTTCTTCGAAGACGCTAATGTAATTGCGTTTCCCGCCAAATGTCACCGCCTTGCGGTCAGGCTTTTGATCCAAATGCTTTGGTTGAGGACCCTAATTATTGTGTTGTCCAGGATTGAGCGTCCTGGAGCTATCCCAACCAACATGCAGCCATGATACCTGCAACTATGTTGCCATTCCACATCCGCCGTCGCGTGGTTTTATTAGCCGGTTGCCTTAATTGTTATTTACAGCAGGGCGAGCAAGCAAAAACATCCTACTGCTGACCATTCCCTTCTTACACTCCCATGTTTCCCGTCTTCTACCCTGCCCCATACAAACTTGAATATTCTCTCCGCCGGTCCCAGCGCCAGCATTAACCGCTTCGTTCGCTCCTAGCTTTAGTTTCCGTACGCCCGACTTCAGTAAAAGCCCCAAACCTCTCCAAAGTATTTTCAAACCCTGAAAATCAGTGAACTCTGCTGACTTTAATGTTTATGCACTGAAGGAAACAGGACAACAAATGACTCTTGCTCTGGGTTCCCTCTGTATTGATGTATCCTGTCTGTGAGAAACAAAGATACATGACGCACGCAACTGAACTGACTGCTTCCTGATTCTCTTCCGGCTACCTAACCTCGGATTCGCTGCAGCTAGATATGCTGTGATGGGTATTGTATTGACGATCGAGCGGACATGTCTCTACTCGAGTGAATACCCATTGAAAGTCGCCTCTGTGTGGTTAGTTTGACAACGTCTGTGAGAGTATCTCGGGAAATTGAGGTCCACCGCACACTGGTTTTTATTTCATTTTATGCCCCGACAAACCGCAGCTTCGAATCTGCCGAGACAGCTTGTATGACGCTCCAGCTGCTCTTCTACAACGGGCTGGTTGGTGGTAACATGAACGCTCAGTAAGGTAGACTAAGTGCTGCTGAGGCCCGATTGGTTGGTCGTATACGGTTAGATAAGATACCCATGGACAACGGAGAGCATGCGCCTCAAATTTATGCTTACCATAGACTGCTTCTTTGCATCACCCATTTTGGGAACGGCAGAAATCACTTGACAGCGTGGTGTCCATCAACTTACCAACCCCGAATCCAAGTAGACCACATCTCCGTCGTCACTCCTTGCCGCTGCTGCTTTTCTTATCTACGCAAAACACACGGCTCCCATAGCCATGGAGAAGCTAGTGGACCCAGGAATCAAACGGGACTATCAGAACTAGCTCCTCGAACGCCTGCCGGATAAAACTGAGTGTCCGTGCAGACGGAGAAACTTGGTGGACCGAAATAGCCAAGAAAGTCGAAGACGCGAAAAATTCTGGAAGCGTCCGCAGGCTGTTCCACTTGATTCATTCAACGGGTCCTCGTAATCCTCTTGTTAGCGAAGTTATCAGGAACCAATATCGCTCGGTGATATATAGCAAAACTGAACGTTTAGACCGCTGGACACAGTACTGCGAACAGCAATTCAGTTGTCCACCTGTGTTCTCCATTCCGCAATCCTGGTCTTCAGCAGAAAGATTAACTGTGAATATAAAGCCACCTGCAACCTCAGAAGTGTCTGAGTACTGCTGGTCCTGATGATCTTTCAGCTGGTCCGTTCAGGGATGCCAGTAAATTCCTAAGTCAATGCCTATCTATCTTGCGTCTATCTGGGAGAAGTTGACCGATCCAGACAACTGGGGTGGGTTTGTACTAGTCCCCATTTTAAAAAAGAATACCCGCAATTGATTTAGTGACCGCAGTGTTGAGTTTTAACCCCGTTTTAGAAGGGTTTCTGATGTCACTAATTCTTCATCGTTCTACAGTGTGACGCGAAAATTGTCCCCATGAGCTTAAAGTGGGATTTCGACTCAATGGAAGCTACGTGAGCCACGTCTTCACACGATCGGGTGTTAGAGCAGCGCCATATGTACAGACGATCACGGCGTTCCTTGACTTCAAGAGTGCGTCCGATTCTATCGATTGGTCAGTGATGTTAAGGATGCTTTCTCAGCCTCATAAGTCTGTGAGCGTAATGCGACCTCTATATTCACATATTTTTGGGCGCGTGACAATGTATGGTGAGCCCCTTGAAAACTCACCCTCAAGAGGCGGTTTCTGACAAGGATGTCCACTGTCTCTCGTTTCAACCTCGACGTCAGTGCAACAATGAGGCGAACGCCTAAAAGTCCCCGAAATCCAAATGTTCAAATCTTTTTTGGTGAGAGCCTCGTCAACTTGGAGTACGCGGACGGTATCGTCCTCGTCATTTAAAATGAAGGCGATACGCAATCCCTGTAAAATAGACTGACGATCGTCATACCATCACTCGGCGTGTGCCTTGCAAAGTCATACTTGAGAATGTGCATTTTCCGAACATACTCGGTATACTTAAAGCAGAATCACTGGAGGCTGTGGAGAATGTTACATACCTCAGTAGTCCTATTGGCTCTGACGAAATTGTGTCTGATCTGGTCAGTGCACGAATCTCAAAAGCCAGTACCACCATTGCTACTTTGCATCACCTGTGGTGTCCAAGCGGCATATCATTGAGTGTCAAGAGTCGCATGTTGGATGACGTCAACGGATTAGTGACAAACTAATTAGAAAATGGGTATTTTATTGTACATTCCCTGCAATCATGAACTGCAGTGGCTCAGTCACGAACTACACATACCGAAACATCGCCTATCTAGACTAGGCTTGTTCTCCTTGTCTTTCACAGAATTGCGCAAATTGCGAGGTGGACTATGTGTGATTCGGCAGAATGGTTTGAAGTCGATTGCAATGAGTTTCGGTATTGTTGGTATGGTCTGCCTTCCAGAGTAGCATCTCTCTGGCCCTTCCTGCACTTGGATGGAGACATTGCATAAAAATGGTGGCTAATCGATGTCAGTGGTGTTCGCTTTCAGATTGTCTGATTGAGCGCTTGGGTTGTAGGCACCTCTCATTGCCTGCTACAGGTCAGCACTAGGTCTCTCTCATCCAGTCTTCCCTTCTTTTCACTTTCAGTATAATTAAATGAACTTTCTGGTCTTACGTTAGTGAGACGTGTGTCAACATTGATGTTTCTGTCTCCGACGCTGCTGCTGCTGCTGATGATGATGGGAAGGAGGAGGAGGACGACGAGCAGTCTTGGATGTGTGAGCGGATTAAGCGGGTGGGCGCAGTGCAGAAGACCGGTATTAACATTTACGGGCACAATAAGTGAATGGATGTACACTCGTGAAGTTATGCCGTTGAAATCGGTTTACGAACTTTGTGGTCGGATTATGCCAACTGCTTGCACTAAAATGAGCGACCCATAGGCATTGCATTGATATCCAAGTTTGATCCGATTTTGCTGACTTGAATCGGTTTGCAGTTCAGTACTCTTGCCAATACCGTCGGTCGATGTAGGACGCGTGAAAGATGTACTTTGCCCTATGTCTTTTTTATTCAGTCGAATACTCGAACCAAACCTAAACAGATTGCCGTGTCTCCAGGGTAACATCTCTCGTGTGAATACCCATTGGTCGCTTTTGTATACAAGGCTTTTCAGTGAATGCTTTCATAACGGGTTCTAAATGGTGACTTACACTATCAATGAGCCTTCGTGCTTGGTTTTGACAACACGTCTGGAATTTTCTCCTTATATCATGAGAGATGTCTCAACTTATAATTGCTGGGCTGTCACTTATGATACTTCAGCCTTCAGATTCTTTAGTGATAGTGTAGGAGAATCGGTTAGACAGTCCTGAGAGTACTGTTAGTTGTGTAGGTCAGTAGACAGTCTTGAACGGCATTTGGACCAGTCAACTGCACCATAGAACATCAAACAGGGTCGCATCCTACGCTGCTGGCCTCATCAGCTACCCGTCAGCTGATAAACAGCAGACACCCATCTACCCAACAATGTCACTTCATATCTTGTTCAATACAGCAAACAACTGAGTTCTGAAGCTTGCTGAGGTTACCGTTATTTGAAAATGGAAGCCGGATCTTTGTAGGCAGAAACAGTGTTGGTAGGACCATGGCAAACTGCGGAGCAAGCCCGTGACATGGTACTTTTCCTTTTTCAGTTTATTTACTGTGGTAATCCGTAGTACACGTCTGGTGGAATAGAACAAAATAAATCCGGAATACCATGCCAAACTGCCCTGTTGTTCTTCCTAATCTAGTACTATTGAACCTAGCCGAGCAGTTTTGCAGTGTTTGTATACCGGGCTGTCAAGGTCTTGTGTACTCTCCACTTAGCTTCGATTGATGAATCCGCGATTGTGCCGGAATACGTTGAACGAAGAATCCCCGTTCCATCCCGACCATCCGTTCAGTCAGCTTCACCGACATCAGCTCCTGGAATTTTCGGAGGTCAGTGTTAGTTTTAAGCTTTTTTATCCTTGCTCTATTTTACGTTCATCTCAAGTTCTTTTGATCGGTCGAATATCTTTGTCGGGTGGAGCGTATTGGAGTGGAGGGTTTCCACTCCAGAATTCTGCCTCTCGGTTGTGAATAACCTATTAACAGCGTTCCTTGGCTCTACTTCCCCAAGTTCAACGGTCCAAGGCGTTTCCTGCTGTTTTCTACAGGAGTTTGACCGCATTCCTGAACTGTTAACTCCAGGTTCCAGCAGGTCGACACAGTGTATTGCACCTTTCTAGATCACCTGTGTAAAATTACTGACTGCTCTCTCTCTCTCTCTCTCTCTCTCTCTCTCTCTCTCTCTCTCTTTTTCTCTGTATAACAGTTGTGCAGTAT